TGCTGGGGACTTTCGCTTACAATCGTGCTCTTTTCTGCTGGACTTGACTTTCGGAGGGTGCACTTGATATCTTGCGTAATCCACTCTCCCCATTTCTCCTCCCTGCTCTATGCCCTGAAGAAAACTACTGAAGATCCCACCTCCTGTGAGACAGCGCTCTTTGTCTAAGATCTGGTAACTTATCACCTCCCCACCCTTTGCTCTTTTAAACTTCATCCATTTAGTCCACTTTTCTTAGATCATGCACTTTGGGTGCCGTATCTTTCCTGTCTTTGACCCTGCCTGAAACAGTGGGTGAAGGGCTGGAGCTGTTCACAGCCTTTGGGTCATCTTGTGAGAGGCAGAGGGACTGGGTCCTGGCCGAGGGACTGGGTCCTGACCTCCACTGGCTAACCGCCTGACTCTGGTTATGCCCAAGGCTGTCACACACACTGATTTTTCAGTACATGAGCCAGTATATTTTCTTTTTGCTCAAAACATTTTGAGTTGGTGTTTCAATTGCTTGAAACAGAATGAGTCTTTTTTTGTTGTTGTTGTTTAATTAAAAAAACATTTATTGAGTGCATCCTCCACGCCAGGCACATGCTAGGTACAAGGGTTAAAATAGTGCAGTCATTCTCAAAGTGTGGTTCTTGGACCAGCCACATCCACATTATCTGGTGTATTAGTTGTCTATCGCTGCCTAACACATCACCCCAAAACTTAGTGGCCTGAAACAATAACCATTTATTATCCCTCAGAGTTTCTGTAGGTTCTGGCTTAGGGTTTATCTCGATCAAAACATTGGCTGGGGCCGCAGGCATCTGAAAGCTTGACCAACTCCACTAGAGGATTCACTTCCAAGGTGGCTCATTCACATGGCTGGCAAGTTGGTGTTGATTAGAAAGAGTCTCAACTGAGGTGTAACTAAAATATGGCTCTAAAGTGAAGATCATGAATCCCTGATCCTAAAGACCCTAAAGTTGACCTAAATATAGAATTACCTTTCAGTTCCAGTCTCCATGAGGCCTGATCCTACAGCAGATGCTATTTTCAGGTTTCTCTGAGATCCTGTCTCCCTTACACATTATGTGCATCCTTAACAATAGTCACTATCTCTACTCAAGTTAGCATGAGTGAGTCTGTTCCTTGGAGCTAAATGAACATAATAAAACAGTTCCCATTTTACAGATAAGCAAATGGAGGCAAGAGAAATGAAGAGACTTCATCTAAATCGCAGGTAACCTCAAACCTGGACTTGGCAGCAGGTCTTCTGGCCCAGGGTCTTTCCATGCTACCCCAGCTTCCTTGTGTTCATTTTCCCTTCTTCCTTTATGCTTTTCCCTTCCCATTTGCCCTGAATTATTGTGGCCCTATTGCCCTAGTAGCCGAGGAGGCATCACATTGTCTCAGGGCCTTGCTGCCAGCCAACTGTCAGAGAAGAAAAGCCATGGGCTTGTCTTTCTCTGAGTTCCATCACTGTCTGCTCACTCACTTGGCATTTAGCATGTGCTGCCCTATGGAAGTTTTGGGCCTGTTTGATAATGCTAACTTGTGCTTTTATTTAGCTCCCCAAGTATTCATGACTTGCCTTCTCAGATGAGAGTAAATTTATCTGGTATCTGATTCATCTTGGAAAAATCTATAGTGCCTAGCGCAGTATTTAGCTGACATTAGACACTCAGTAAGTATCCATTAACAAGATTGACTAAAAGGAGCTTATATCAGGCAAAATGCTGGCTAAGCTGCTGTAACAACACCACAGTGGTTCCAACAAGACAGAAGTTTACTTCCCTCCCACCGCCCAGCGGCGGGCAGGCAGTCCTGGGTGGGTAGGGGCTCTGTTCTATGAAGTCATCCAGGGACTCAGGTTCCAACTTCTTGCTCTACCTCCTCTAGGGTGTTTTTCTCCTCTTGGTCAGAGCTGTCTCCCTAGTACCACATTCACATTCTGGCCTAAAGAAAGGAGGAAAGGGAAAGTGAAGGGGAAGCAAGCAGCTTCCTTATTAAAATGTGATTCAAATATGCATGTTATCTCTGCTTGCAGCTCATTGGCTAAAACATTGTCACATGGTCACACTGGCTTGCAAATGATGCTGGGAAATCTAGACTCTAAATAGACAGCCATGTGATCTGATAAAACCCAGGACTCTATTGCTAAAAGAAAGACGAGGAGCCATTTGACCATTTCACATCCACGAGAATGACTAAAATTAAAAAGATTGATGATTCAAAGTGGTGAGAGAATAAAATGGTACATCCACCTTAGCAAACTCTTTGGTCATTCTCCCCCTAGGTATTTACCTAAGAGTAATGAAAACATGCGTCCACAGGAAGACTGGTAGAAGAATGTTCATAGGAGCCTTATCCATAATAGCTCAAAACAGGAGACAAACCAAATGCCCATCACAGGAGAATGATTAAACATGTGGTGGGATACTCATACAATGCAATGCTACTAAGCCATAAAAAGGAGCAAACCACTGATACACGAAACAACCAGGGCTGACTTAGCCCTTTGGCAAGGTAGGCACAGTGCCCAGGCCCACGAAAATGCTTTAATTTCTTTTAAAATCAGAAGGAAAAAGTGAAATTTTAGGTTGAAGAAAATGTTTTATGGGGGTCAGCCTGGTGGCATAGTGGTTAAGTTTGCATGCTCCACTTTGGTGGCCTGGGATTCTCAGGCTCAGATTCCAGGCTCTGACCTATACACTGCTCATCAAGCCATGCTGTGGTGGTGTCACATATAAAGTAGAGGGCCAATCTTCCTCAGCAAAAAGAAGAAGATTGGCACACGTTAGCTCAGGGACAATCTTCATCAGCAAAAAGAGGAAGATTAGCAACAGATGTTAGCTCAGGGCCAATGTTCCTCACCGGAAAAAAAAAAAAGTGGCTGGCCCAGTGGTGTAGTGGTTAAATTCACACGCTTTGTTTCAGCGGCCCAGAGTTTGCAGGTTCAGATCCTGGGCGTGGGCCTACGCACTGCTTATCAAGCCATGCTGTGGCAGGAGTCCCACATATAAGTAGAGAAAGATGGGCACAGATTTTAGCCCAGGGCCAATCTTCCTTAGCAAAAAGAGGAGGATTGGCAGTGGATGTTACCTCAGGGCTAATCTTCCTCACCAAAAACAAACAAAAAAAGAATTAAAAAAAAAGAAAATGTCTTATATAATATGTATATATTTGTCTTTATAGTAACACAGTTATGAGATATAATTTTTAAATTTTATTTTCTATGAAGGAAGGGGCCCATGAAGTCCCTAGGGCCCACAAAGGTCATAACACAGCCCTAAAAATAATGGAGATGAATCTTAGAAACACTATGTTGAGCAAAAAAACTTGAGACACAAAAAAGTACATGCTGCATGATTCTATTTAATGAAGTTCTATAACAGCAAGACTAATCTACACTGATAGAGATGAGAAAGTGGTTGCCTCTGGGATGGGGAGGGATTACCTGGAAAGAGAGGGGAAGGCCGTTTCTGGGATGACAGAAATGGTCAGTATCTTGTTTTAGGTGGTGGTTACCTACATCATGGAACTGAATTTTTAGGATCTTGCATTTTATTGTATATGAATTATGCCACAATTTTAAAAAAAGAAAGAAGGGGACAATGGACACTAGAGTACAATTGATAATCTCTGCCACAGATTTGATGAAGGAATTCTTGAGACAGTGTTAGCTGAGAAGATTTTAAGGTGCATTTTAGTGGAAAACCTTTAGAAACTCAAAGGGAAGAGTCCAACCACTGTAACAGGCCAGTGGAGAATGAACCACTCTGCTCTGTGTCAGTCAAGAGTTTTTATTGCAAGCAACAGAGAGTAGCTCTGGTTAGCTTAAGCAGAAAACGCAATTAGAAGAAGAATAATAGGAAGTATAACGAACAGGCTCTGACAACAGGCAGGAATTAAAGGAGGCAAAACACAGAAACAATCGCATCAGATCTCTGGCAGATCATAGGATGCCATATCTAACACCTTTGCCCCACCCAGCCAGACTCTATCTCAGGCTTCCACTGCATTTTTATTACTCCCCTAAAGTGAAAACCAGGATGGGAGTGTCTGATTGGCTGAGACTAGGTCTCCCTACATATAATCATTCCTAAGGAGTTGGGAGAAGGAACATATGTTTCACTTGGCTTCTAGAGTGGGAGGTGGGTCCCTGTCTCCCACTTATTTTGGAATTCCCTAAAATAAGACTAGTGTTTGAATGCTGGGCAGCCAAAAATGAGCAACGTTCCCAATACAATCTATCTCTGTTGTTCGGATTCCTGCTTGTGATTCTACCTCCTGCCGGGACTTTCGAGATCCAGGACAGACCCAGTGTAGACAGTTATGTTCTAAAACACTGATCCGGGCTACTGAGAGTGAACCACAGGATCGGGTGTGGAAAGTCACCCCGGCTCAAGCATCTAGCACCTGGGAGGGGAAACTAGTTATACTGGTGAGATATGGTGCGAGCTTGAATTACACAACAGAAATATTTGAAAGGCAGATAGCATGACAGGACTTGATTAATCTGGAACGTGGAAAGACCAAGAGAAAGGAGTCAAAAGGAACACCCGAATTTCTGCCTTGAGAGGCGAGGGGTGAGGAGTGTGCGAATATATAGGGACAGTGACACCCAAGAGAGGCAAAGAGTAGGTCTGTTTTATTCCTCTTTGGGGTGGTTTAATGCGAAGGGTTAAGTTTTTGACGTGGTGAATTCGAGATGAAGATGTTCAATACACAATTGAAATTACAGGTTTTAGAAAGGGACAAGGTCAAGTCTATGGGTTGAGGCCTCGGATATGAGCGCGCTCAGCCCTGGTGGAGAGGAAGAACGCCGGGGAGAGGGCCCTGGAGATTGCCCACGTCTCCGACCTTCATCCCCAACCGGCGCTGCGCACCTGCTCTCGGGCCGCCTCGCCCGCGCCCAGCCCCCGCCGCCGCGCGCCCTGCCGCGGGGCCACCTCTCTGGGCGGGGCGAGGCCGCGGCGCCGCCAAGTCACCCGGAAGACAAAGTCGGGGTCAGGCGGACCTGGGAGGGCGCTCGCCGAAAGGGGCGAGGGGCCGAGGAGCCGCAGGGAAGGAGGGATGCCGGATGCCCGGGCCTGCGGCGCAGAGCGCGGCTGCGGCGGTGGCGGCGCTGGTGGCCGCCCTGCTCCTGCTGCGGCCTGAGGACGCGGGGCCGAGGGCCGGCTCCAGGTGACCCCACCGCGGGGGGACCGAGCTGGGCCCCCGCACCCCTGTGGGCGGAGGAAAGAGGGGTCGGAACCGGGGATACCGTGGGGGAGCGAGGCCCTTGGTGCCAGCAGTGTGTGGCACCTGGGCGCATTCTCCTGTTCCGGCCCCTTCCGAGGTGTGGTCAGGTGAGGGGACGGGCCAGGGCGCCCAGCTCTGCAGGTGACTCTGCACTTTCCCCAGGGCCCAGACTGCGGAGAATAACAATACCTCCCTCCAGAAGAAATGAAAAACACTTGTTCCCTGGGGTGAGCACGGGCGGCCCTTCAACATCCCTGACCAGCGCCTGTTGGTGTTATTTCTGTAGCATGGCCGAGGCAGAGGCGCTGCCCAAGCTTCGGGAAGACTTCAGGATGCAGAATAAATCTGTCTTTATTCTGGGCGCCAGCGGGGAAACCGGCAGAGTGCTCCTAAAAGAAATCCTGGAGCAGGGCCTGTTTTCCAAAGTCACGCTCATTGGCCGCAGGAAGCTCACCTTCGACGAGGAAGCGTATAAAAATGTGGTGGGTATCTGAGCTGGGACTCAAAAATGTCCTGGCAGTGATTCCGCGGGGTGAATTTATTTCAGGCCTAAGGCTGAGCATTGCCCGGGCAGTGGTGGAGGCCGGGAGAGGTGATCAGAATGTGGCCAAAATTGGTGTCTGAGAGCCCCTCCTGGAAGCTGGATTGTAGGCCCGGGTCGACCTCCTCCTCACCGTGTGGCTTTGGGCAAAGCCCTTCTCTCAATAGAGATCCCTCTAAGGCCAGGCCTAGGTTTTAATGGGGCTGGGGAGACAGAGAAGGGTACTGTTTTCAGGGTCGTTCAAGCTGGGTTCTAGAGACAGCCCTGGGACTTGGGGCAATTTTCTCAAGCACTTTGCTTCTTTTGTCTACCTGTCCACTCCACACTAACGTGTCAGTGAATAGGAAAATGCTTTGCAGAGCGGGGAAAGGTCTATGGCAGTGAAGGGTGGGGTTATTCCCTTTCCAGAATTTCCCCTGCCTGACTTCGCAGGGCTGCAGGCTTGTGTCTGTAAGTGGAATATTCCCTTCGCTGTCACTTACACTTCTAAGGTTAACCAAATGATACACCGGACTTCAGTCTGGTGCTCATCACCTAAATATTTGAAGTCTGAGTGTCGTGGAGTTTCCTTTCCCCAGTTAACCTGAGTTATCTGTGAGCTGCAGTAAAGTCAACTAGAGTGTAATCCTGAGACCCACAACTGTAGAACTGGGTCCCACAGGTTTCACAGGTGGAACGTTCCAGATAACAAACAGTCACAAATACATGTTCTTGACTCCTGTAGGTCCATGTCCAGGTCATTTTGCGTATGTCTTTGGTCCATCAGGACTTTTCTGTTTAAAATGCACATCTTTGCTCAGACTTAGGCAGGTAATATGTGGTCTCCATCGTCTGGCTTCATGGGACCTGTCAGACACTTCTGGTAATTAGAAACTGAAGCTGAGCTCTGTGCTTTGATGGTTGAGTTTTGGTGGCACATCTTTTGGTCAGCACTTTATGCAAACATATGTTTTGTTTTGTTTTTTTGTGAGGAAGATCAGCCCTGAGCTAACATCCATGCCAATCCTCCTCCTTTTTTCCCCCCCTTTTTCTCCCCAAAACTCCAGCAGATAGTTGCACATCCTTCTAGTTGCTGTATGTGGGACGCCGTCTCAGCGTGGCCGGACACGCCGTGCGGCAGTTCGCGCCCAGGATCCAAACCTGGGCCGCCAGCAGTGGAGTGCTTGCACTTAACCACTAAGCCACGGGGCCAGCCCTATGCAAACATAGTTTTTGTCAACATTGTGTATGGTGCCACGAAGATTATTTTGAAAGAGTTGATGGTTGGGAAGCAAAGCAACATTTTTTTGAACTCTTGGATGATGGGAACTTCAACTTTGTTTTTTGTTTCACACCGAACTTATGAGATTCCAGACATCATTCCCTGCACCCACATTATACCTCATTGGTATTCTGCCTGGTAAGATACAGACAAGTCTTTTATTTTTGCAGAGAGAAAATTATTATTCAACCTGACTTTGGAGATCTGGATCACCCCTAGTCCAATTATGTGTACTGTGAACATTTAAAGGCATTGTTGATTTTGAATTCAGATTAATTGCTCTTTGGTGGGAGAAAATGAACTTGCAAAATTTGATGTTAAGTGGCTGACTCTTCAGTAATGTTCTGTAATTTATTCTTTAAATCTAGAGGGGTATTTTTGTCTGTTTTATTTTTTTTAATATCAAGTTATATATAGCTGTGTCCTTGTGTCTAGAATCAAGAAGTAGTGGACTTTGAAAAGTTGGATGACTACGCCTCTGCCTTTCAAGGTCATGATGTTGGATTCTGTTGCCTGGGTACCACTAGAAGAAAAGCCGGGGCGGTAAGGGAGAAATAGACCCTTTTTTCTTTTCGATGGCCAGTAATGTCAAAGATTCCTTTCTTGCTCACTTTTTTCCTTTACATTTGCAGTGCTTAAACGTAAATACGCTCTTATCATTTAAGATTCCATATGCTGCCCTAGCCTTTGCTATACTGTACTTTGAATAGTACTGATAAATTCATCTTTCCTTCAAAGTAATCTGTGAGTTCAGGCCTGCATGCTGATGTGTAAGTCACGAATATACATGGCCTTGCCTTTTGTAAATATTGCTGTCACTACATTCCCTAAGGCAAACAATTATGTCTGAGTAAAAGTAACTGGCTCATGCTGTTAGCTGTAAGCTTTTTTTTTTTCTTTATAAATGTTTTAAACTTAAAGCGTTCTTTCTTACTTGAGTGATTTGCTTCAACTAGTTTTCATGCCAAGCTTTAAACTTTTGGGATAGAACATCAGAACAGAGGCACAGTTCAGCTAGCCTCCAGTGATGACTCAGCCTCCAGCAGTGATTCAACCCGTGGTGATTCAGCCCTAATTGACGCAGAGCTGTTCTAACACACATTTTATATTCTCTTTAATGGTCTTCTAAATTGCATCGGCCCCTGTCCAGAAATCGTAGTTTACTGTATAGTTAGAGGTTGTAGCTTACTACGTAGATCCTGGGCAAGTGTTAATACGTCTTATTTAATTTATACCTAGACTATAGTTTATCTCTCTGGCAGAATTTACTTGGTGGAGCTAAACAGGTCTATTAAATATGCAGGACCACGATGCTGCCCTGGGGGCTTACCATAGGTTTATAAACAGGCCCATGCATCAGAATCACTAGGAGACCACATGGTTAAGAACTATTGGTTTATGCCAACCAAGGAGTTAGGTTCAGAGATATTTCTCTGGGCTTCTTGGTAATCTAAAGAATAATTCTGTTTATGTTTTCAGTGGGGATATATTTCCAGATCTTCTGCAGTTCTACTGTGTCCACTTTGGATCACAGCCAGGTTTTGAGCTCTGTGCTGGGAAGTATGGATGATAGAGACGTTTGACTCTCCCAGGAACTGGCACATTCTCTCTCCTAGAATAGGTCATGTTCCTGCTCAGTAGCAAGTGCAGTCTTTCCTGTCCCAGGCACAGTCATACGCAGTGTGCCCTCTAAAAGCGCTTAAAAACTTTTGTCCTAGTACACTGCAGGTTGCACTGTCTCAGTGCCAACGTGGTTTTGGTGGTGACTCAGCAAAATAAAAAACACTGCATTAGGCATAGAGCAGTTGATTTTCGTGACGTAAGGCAAATCTCATTATAGGGTGCTCCAGGGAAAAGTAAATTGCTTTGTGGCATTCACATTGTATAATGCAATTTTAATCAGAGGAATTGGGTGTCTTCCCTATCCAGGATATTTTTTAGATGGAGTTGGTTCCATACCCCTTGGGCTACTCAATACCTTTTGTTCTCCAAAATCAATTTGAAAAGATAAAAGTAATTAATGAGTAAGCAAGAGAAAAGACTAGTAAGCCAAATATAGTCTCAGAAATGAGTTAGGGCTTAAATGATTTAAGAGGATGGTGACAGAAAGTAAGGTGACATTTCCTCCAGAAAGTCTTTTTTTTTTTTTTTTTGAAACTAATTTAGATTGGATGCAATATAAAGTTGGGAGGTCGTGATAACTTTAGACAATTCAAAAGAGGGGACAGTTCACAAGCCGCTAGGTAATAAAAGTTGTTTCATGGGGGTTGTGGATTTCCAAGCTCACCCCACTGGGTCAGCAGCCCTCTCTGTAGAAAAAGAGTTCATCAGATATATACTGCAAAGCTGGTGGCAAGCCTAGTGTCATTCTGTAGCTGTTTTGTAACTGGAACATCCCACATTTTGCCTTAGCAATCTGAGTTTCCATTAGAGAAACTTCAAGAAATTTAGAGTTTCTGTCTCAGTGTTGAAATCCTCTGCGTTGCCAGCCTATTTCCCTATGATCTTTAGTGTATTCGTTTGCTAGGGCTGTTATAAAAAGTTCCATAACCAGGGTGGCTTAAACAACAGAAATTTACTGTCTCCCAGTTCTGGTGGCTGGAAGTCTGGGATCAAGGTGTTATCAGGATTGGTTCCTTCTGAGGCTGTGAGGGAAGATCTTTTCCAGGCTTCTCTCCTTGACTTGTAGATGAATGCCTTCTCCCTGTGTCCCTTCACATGGCATTTTTCCTGTGTCTATGTGCGTGTGGTGTGTATGTGTGGTTATGTCCAAATTTCTCCTTTTTATTAGGACACTAGTCGAATTGGATTAAGAACCCCTCTACTCAGTATGACCTCATCTTAACTGATTACATCTGCAACAACCTTAGGCTCCTTGAGAGATTCTGATGCAGCCAATCTCCTTTTTTGTTGGCCCCGCTTCAGGAGGCATTGGGATGTATTAGTTCTCCTTGCTTGCTGGTTTTCCAGGTACTATAATCCCGGATGGCCTTCACCTTGCTTTAGTGAGTAACTTGTGTGCTAGTGAAGGTTGAGATACCTTTTGAAAACTAGATCTACATTGGCTTTGAGTGAAGAGCAAAAATTCCCAGATGCCACCGAGAATAGTGCTTTCCCGTTATTTGTATAAAGAGGACTTGGTTAGTGAGTTTGCAGTGATGTGATGTGGTTCCACCTCTTCATTTGTCTCCTCACCTAGTGAGCATAGGCTCCAGCAGTCTAGGTTCTTGGATTCTATTGAATGGGTGATGCCGTTAATGTGATGAATGCAGCCGTTATAACATTCATTAGGCATCGTTAGTGTCACAGCGTCTGATTCTAATGATATACTCTTCTAATCCAGGGGCTTGCAAACTGCAGCTTCTGAGCCAAATACAGCCTGTTTGTTTTTATACAGCCTGTGAGCTAAGAATGTTTTTTTTTTTTTTGTGAGGAGATCAGCCCTGTGCTAACATCTGCCAATCCTCCTCTTTTTTTGCTGAGAAAGACTAGCCCTGGGCTAACATCCGTGCCCATCTTCCTCCACTTTATATGGGACGCCGCCACAGCATGGCCTGACAAGTGGTGAGTTGGTGCACGCCCGGGATCCGAACTGGCGAACCCCGTTCCGCTGCAGCGGAGCGCACGCACTTAACCGCTTGCGCCACCGGGCCAGCCCCATGTTTTTATGTTTTTAAATGGTTAAAAAATTCAAAAGAGGAATAATATGTCATGACACATGAAAATATAAGAAATTCAAATTTCAGTATCCATAAATAAAGTTTATTGGAACACAGCTATTCTCATTACTTTATATATATTATCTATGGCTGCTGTTGTTCTGTGATGGCAGAGCTGTGTAATTGCAACAGAGGCCTGCAAATCTGAAAATATTTACTCTTTTATCCTTTATAGGAAAAGTGCTGGCCCCTGTTGAAATCTGTACTGTTTTATTTGATGTGAAGTGACGAAGTCTTAGATGGCCCGAGGGACCCAGATGATAGGCTCTATTTGGATACCAAGTAGCTATGGGACCTTGGGTGTGCCAGTTAGGTATGCCTCTGCCTCCCTGTCTGTACTGAGAGGGAGGTGACCACTGAAGCCCCTTGGCTGCAGAATTCTTTGACTTTCATAACACAGAGAAAATGCCCCAAATGGAAAAATGTTGTGAGAACACAGATTGACTCAGGAATCCTCAGCATTGTTTGATTTTATTTTTCTATCCAGAGCTCTTTCGCTAACCAAGATCATGGTCCCAACACAGTACATCAAATATAGAGATGCCCTCCAGGACACAAACAAATGGGGTCTCAGGTTATACCATTTGTGGTTCGTCAGCATCTCTGTTTTCTAGTCTAATTTATGGGGTTGGATTGAGAAGCGAGTGAGGGAGAAAGAATCTGAAGCAGAAATATGGCTAAGTGGGACCCTTGGCAGAAAGACAGATCGTCCCTCTTTGGAAAAGGATCCCGCGACCTTGAGTGATTCTGGCACGCTCGCGTGTCATGGTGGTCAGCGCTGAAATACCCTGTTAGGATGCGTTGTTCTAAGAAAAAGCCAGAGTGTTGCCAGTTTTCAGGCATTGGTAAAGAAAATCAGAAGAAATACTTAGGAGCTTTGGATTTTAATAAGACTTAAAGACTACTTGGAGAATTTGTCTCCCTTGCTGTTGGTGGAGCCTATGAGGACATCTCTGCTGAATTGTATTACGTTGTGTTTATTCTTTCGAGCAGGTGTTGGAAAGGAAATTTATAGTGGGAATTTACTGAATCAATTCGTTTTTCTAGAAGGAACTCTTAATTCCTAGCTTGGAGTAGGACACACCGACTATGGAATAACAAAGACACAATAACATATGGACTTAATGCTCTCAGAAGAGATGTCTTTTCTCCTGCCATATGGTTAGGGAAACTAAATACGGTTTTTCTGAAAATATTCTTTCCGGGATGTGGAGTAGCTTGTTTTAGTTTGTTTTTCTCTTGTTTTTTTATTTGAGCCGTTAGAAAACAAGAAAGGGTGTCAATAATAAGACTTTAAAGATAGCTCCCTTCTATCTATAAATGGAATCTTCCTCACTCCAAAGAAAATTGGTGTGTGTTGATGTCTCCGGGTCAGTCACCAGGATCCACATTTAAGTTTGGTTTCTAAGTCCTTGAAAGCCGTTGACCCCTTTGCTTTTGAGTTCCATTCACCATCTAAAAGGCCACGCATCAGGGTGGGAGAAGTGAAATTCAAAATTTGTGGGCTTTGGAAAAATGGGTATTTATAATGAGCTTGAGGGCTCAGAGGATTTGTGAAATCGTTTCGGATTAACAGCCATTGATTGCTCATAAAACAATATTTAGCTTTGTGCGGAGAACAGCAATGGAGAAAGGTGTGGGCACCTTGTCAGCAGGGCCCATTGAGCATGGATGATGGGCTGAGCGTGGGGGTCTCCGCAGCGGCGTGGTGCTCGTCCTTCCAGGCGCGCTTGTCAGTTGTTAGCGAGGCGGGTGAAAGGAAGGACGCCAGAGTCTGATGGCTAGGCTTGTATTGATGTGCCTTGGCTGACTAATCAGATTGAAAAAGTCTCATGGTATTTATGTCACTTTAATTTTCGTCAAACAATTGGAGACGACAGCACTCTATTAAGGAGAGGGTGATCCAGAACTAAAGCCAAATAAATTAGGGTCTCAGTTTAATCAAATTATCCCTTTCCTGGCCCTGGATAAAGTGAGAGAGAGCGTCGGTCTAGAGACTTGTGATTGGCTGAATCTTTCCCTTATTTTTAAAGAAGCTGATGAAAGAAAAAGCATTTTAACAGAGACAACTATAATAATCCTTCCAAGAAATGGTGCTAAAACAACAACGATGAAAAGGAATTTATTCCACTAGTCACCTATGTAATATTATTGTGAGTAACGTACCTGTTATTAAAATCAGAGTTCTGGTGAATTGGAGTGAGGGGAAGAAATAGACGTGGGAGAGAAATTGAGTGTTTTAGGATTTTTCTATGTAGTGTTGGACTGTTTTTCTTGGCACACTTTCAACACATGTAAAATCTCAATTTGGAGAATGGCTCTGCGGAGAATCACATCCCTCTCTCAGGATGTGCTGAGTATTAAAATTGGTTTGCTTCACACAGATTTAAAAAGCAACAACACGAGTTTGAATCAGTGTGTAGGACAGGTCGGTGAGTTGGCTGTTGGGATTGAATGTCAAAGTATACAACACAGAAGGAGATGGTGAAGTGTTAAGTTTATATTACCTGAAGTAAGGTGGACAAATAGGACTGCCCTGCAGGTAGTGGATGTAGTTAAAAATGTGCTGTGAGCCATGAGAAAGGAGGACCGGGGAGGCTTTTGGGGTAATGGTAATGTTCTGTTTCTTGATCTGGGAGCTGGTTGCAGAGGATGTTCAGTTTGTGAAAATCTATTGAGCTCTATACTTATAATATGTTTACTTTTCTTTGATGATCTACTTCAATACAAAGTTTAAAAAGTGTGCTTGGGCCTGTCATTTTAAAATTGAATTCTGTATTAGTTTCTTCTTATTGCTGTAACAAATTGCCTCAAATTTAGTGGTTTAGTAAAAACAACATAAATTTGTTATCTTCCAGTTCTGTAGGTTAGAAGTCCAACATGAATTCTGCTGAGATAAAATCAAGATGCTGACTGGGCTGTGTTCCCTTTTGGAGGGTCTAGGGGAGAATCCATTTTCCTACCTTTTCCAGCTCCTAGAGGCCACCATGTACCTTGGTTCATGGTCCTCTTCCTCCATCTTTAAGGCCAGCAATGGGAGGTCAAGTGCTCCTCGCATTGCATAACTCTAACCTCCTCTTCTGCTTCCCTTTTGCACCTGTAAGGACTCCTGTGATTACATTGGGCCCAGTTGGATAACACAGAATAATCTTAAGTTCAGCTGATTAGCAACCTTATTTCCACCTGCAACTTTAATTCCCCTTTGCTGTGTAACCTGACTTATTCACAGGTATGGGGATTAGGACGTGGACATCTTTGAGGGGCCATTATTCTGCCTACCACAATTATGAATTAGTCATTTTCATTATCTAGAGATACTGTGAGATAAGAAGGAACGTGGGTGCAGCAGAGAGCGCTGCTCAGAGAGTCAAGAGCCTGTACTCTGCTCTCAGCTCCCCCACTTATTAGCCAGCAGTTCACCGGACCGCTGGACCTCGTTTTCACATCTTCATAATGAGAGGGTGCTCAAAGATACACATCTCCATATAAAATAAAACATTTAGGATCAATAACTACTGTAGGGCCAATTTTTAATCAAAAAAAATCATTGGGGCAGTTATCCAGTCTTCAGATTTGCAATTCTCATTATATAAAACTTCATTATTTAGTTGTGGGTACCTATCAAGTTCAGCTTCAGTAGACTTGAGACTTCCCTTCAGCTGTCTCGAGTTTGAGGATACCAGAATTTGTGGTGGTCTCGAGTTTGAGGATACCAGAATTTGTGGTGGTCCCAAAAAGCTGTTACTATGTGGAATTCCCTTTTCTGGGTGCAGGCCCGTGTCCTTCAGGTAGGCCCTGGAAATGAGTCTGTATTCTCTTGTTTGCACCAGGCTCTCCCCTCCTCCTTTTATTGCCCCTTAGTTCTTTTTTTCTAACTGGATTTGCCTTTTCTCTGCTTTCATTGGACTTTTATTCATTGATTCATATATTTTTGGAGCACCTACCCTGTGCTGGGCATGTGCTGATGGTGAGGCGTGAATTAAGAAGGACTGAACCACTCTGCTTACTGGACTGAGTCTAGACTAGGGGTCTCCAACATTCTTGATTATACACCTGTCAGTAAAGAAATTAGAGGATGCACTCTTTACTAATACGTAAAGTATGTTGTAAAACATACACAAAAATTGGACATCAAATAGACTTTGTTCTCATAGTGCCTGGACAGTGTTCTCAGCCAGGCTTTGAGACCCTACCATGTTAGAATTGACACAGAAAAAACAAAAGAAATCAGAGAGAGGGTTGTAAGGTTGTAAAGTTATCAAAAGACAAGGAAATGTATGATTAAATGCAATTTGTCAGCCTATCTTATTGTTCCTATTGCTTCTCGCAGATTTGTTTGCTGTCTGTTTCAATGTCATCGTCCTTGTTTTTTTATTGCTTCTGGCCTTGCTACAGCTGGTACATCCGTCCTGAGGATCAGACTTGGAGCCTTTCCCAGCGTCTCAGCCTTGACATTCGTGTATTGCTTGGATGCATTTTCTTTAGATCCCCATTCCTCCCAGGCCTCCTGGCTGGCCACCCAAGCTGAGTAGTAATCTTTAAGATGAACTCATGGCTTTTTGGAAATAACTCTCATCCTTTCCCCCTCAGGAGGGATTTGTTCGTGTCGATCGAGATTATGTCCTGAAGTCTGCAGAGCTGGCCAAAGCTGGAGGCTGCAAGCATTTCAACTTGCTGTCCTCCAAAGGAGCTGATAAGTCGAGCAATTTTTTATATCTGCAAGTTAAGGTTTGTGCACATTTCTATCTTTCATATACTATGGAGAACTCTGGCTAATTGGCAAAACTAAATCATATCAAATGCTAAATAATACAAAAATATATTAAAGGCATTATGTTATGCATTTTTTATCACTACAGGGACTATTTCTTGCAGGGATATATTTAATAAACAGGAGTGATTTGAAAGATAATTTCCAATGTCTTCCCCCCTGTTGATTATCTAGTGATCATGAAATGAGATGTGGCAGCTCTGGTCTTGAACATCAGCCTGGAATCTTAACATAAGAAGAGACTTTGAGGCAGTGATTCTTAAACTTTTCCAGGGTAGATGATATTTTATTATTAGGTATGGTACTTACCCTCAAGGAATTTATAATCTGCTTGTTTGGGGGGATCCCCAAGGCCGGCCCTAACTAGGTAATTTGCTAGAAGGTCTCACAGGACTCAGCATATAGTCATACTCACAGCTATGATTTATTACAGTGAACGGATATAAAGCAAAGTCAGTAAAGGGAAGAAGTGCATGCAGTGAAGTCCGGAGGAAACTGGGTAAAGGTTTCCCCGAGTCCTCTCCCAGGGGAGTTGCATGTGCTTAATTTCTCCAGCAATGAGTATTGTCTACCAGAGAAATTTGCCTGAGCCCAGGAGTCCAGGGTTTTTACGGGGGTCAGACAAGTAGGCACCCTCAGCCTAGAAAAAATTATAGAATTCAAGAAAGAAAGCCAAGTGTTCAGCATAAACCACGTTACCAATAGTTGAGACACAGCAAGCTCCCCTTTTCAGTTAGGTAATGACGGGAACACTCCTGAAATCCAAGTTCCCAGACCCTTGCGAGCAGGCCTGCCTCAGGACAGCTGTCAGAGCCTGCTGTGTTAACTCTTTTATGCACACTGCTAATAGAGACAAAACACATCTTTGTAAGAAGCTAACGAAGAAATGTGTCCACATAAAAACTTGTATGTGAATGTTCACAGAAGCATTATTTGTAACAGCCAAAGAGTGGAAACAGCCCAAATATCAACTGATGCATGGAAGAATAAAATGTGGTATAAACATACAAAAGAACATTATTCAACTATAAAAAGGAATGATACGTGCTACAACATAGGTGAACCTTGAAAACATTATGCTAAATGAGCGAGGCCAGTCACAAAAGGCCACGACTTATGTGATTCCATTTACGTGAAATGTCCAGAACAGGCCAATCTATGGAGACAGAAAGATTAGTGGTTGGCTAGGGCTTGTGGGGTAGGGATGGAAGTGAGTGCTAATTGGTACAGGGTTTCTTTTTGGGGTGATGAAATATTCTAAACTTAGATTGTAGTGAAGGGGGCACAACTTGTGAATATCCTAAAAAACGTTAATTAAAAAATGTTTTAACAAAAGCTACCTAAGATTACATGATGTGACAGGTTAAGTGTCGAATGACTGATGCGCACCAGCCAAGAAGGTGAAGGAGAGTATGCCGCTTAATTCACCGGGCCTTCGGAGGTGCCCGTGGCCTGAGATCCTCTGGCATTTCTGTTTATAGAGATGCCGGGGTTGGGGGGAGGAGGATGGGGCATGAAAATTCATAGTTTAACAAATTTTATTTAGAGCATCATCTAGATACATTCTCTCTCTTGAAATTTGGTGGGGTTTGTTAGGAAGTGAGTAGTATAGGAGGGTCTGTGAGTCTTCTGACCTCGGAACTACCTGGAAACCAAAAAGTTAATGTCTGCCAGCCTGCAACATTGAGTCTGGACTAACGGGAGGTTATTTTTTTATGGCCGAAATCCTAACGTGTCACTTACTCTCTCTGGATCTGTTTTAATATCGGTCAGATGAGAGGCTGGACTGACTGTGCCACCATTCACTCACTCGGTGCACCTTTTTTAACTCTCTACTACATATCAGGATTAAATGATCTCTTCCTTAACTTCCCAAACTCTTCAGGACCTGTAGAAGCAGATTATCTTCAAAACCCAGATTATTCTCTCAAGCATTACAGTAACTTGGTCTTGATTAAATACTGAAAATGTGTTTTTTGTTAACAGGGAGAAGTGGAAGCCAGGGTTGAAGAATTAAAATTTGATCGTTACTCCATATTTAGGCCTGGGTAAGTATTCATACTGCCACAGAGTACCCTAGAAGCTAGTTTTTCATTCGAAGAGGCTGATAACTAAGATATCTAAGATCTGACAGAAGTTGGCTGAAGGTGGACTGCTTTTCTGAAGGACCCACCTTTTGGCTTTAAAGGACGGGGTAGACAGTTGGTGGTGCCAGGTTCAGAATAGTCTGGAACTTACTGGGTAGCATGTGCTGCCTTTTTTTTAATAAAACCTTTTACCTCTGTAGTAGTCAGTTCAGGCTGCCATAACAGAATAATACCACAGACTGGGGGGCTTAAACAACAGAAATTTGTTTTCACACATTTCTGGAGGCTAGAAGTCCCAGATCAAGGTGCCATCAGGGCTGGTGTCTGTTGAGACCTCTCTTCCTGGCTTGCAGACGGCCACCTTCTCACTGTGTGCTCACAAGGCTTTTCTTCTGTGCATGTGGAGAGAGAGAGATCTCTGATATCTCTTCCTCTTCTGTAAAGATACCAGTCTTATTGGATTAGGGTCCCACCCTTATGAAATATTTAACCTTAATTACCTCCCTAAAGGCACTGTCCTCAAATACAGTTTCATTGTGGTTTAGGGATTTTCAACCTGAGTTTTGGGAGGACACAGTTCAGTCCATAACTCCTTCTATGGTCTGAATGCAATTAACCATCTCTTCCTCGGCTTTTCTTTTTCTCTTTAGAGTTCTACTATGTGATAGGCAAGAATCTCGCCCAGGTGAATGGATGATTAGGAAATTCTTTGGCTCCTTACCAGTATCTTGGGCCAGTGGGCACTCTGTGCCAGTGGTGACTGTGGTTAGAGCAATGCTGAACAACGCAGTGAGACCAAGCAACGAGAAGAAAGAACTGCTAGATAACAAGGCCATCCACGACCTCGGGAAAGCCGATGGCTCTCTCAAGCCATGATCACACTGGAGAAATGCTTTTTACTGTAAACTGCAACACCCACCACCTAACTGGTAACTTCTGGATCTGAAAAAAGTCAGCGTGCTTTAACTTTGTGGTTCTCGGCCTCCCAGATCCAATCAAAAAATGGTTGTGCTCTGCATCAGCGGGTCAGAGCCTGGCTGTACATATACATACATCACCCAGGAAGCTTTTCAAAAAATTAGAGCTTCATAGGCCCTACCTCAAACCTTCTGAACCAGAACTTTTGGGTGCAGGCACAGAAATCTGTTGTTCTGTTTAGGCTGCCTGTGGTGGTTCTGATACCACAGGTGGGGAGGCCAGCTTTGAAATGCCTATCTGTAGAGTCACAGCAGCAGTGCAAACCTTATGTATCATGCAGATGAGTTCTGTTCTAAAATTGTTGACATTTGTGTCTCTGAGTTACCCTATGCTGACTGCATGTAACCGTGTAAGTGAACATTGTGCCTTACTGCTTCTTTAGAATATACAGTAAAAGTTATTATATACCTGAGCTTAAATAATTCATGGGAGAACTAAGTAGGAGAATTAAAAATAAATGGACAAGTCCTGGGTGCCTCTTAGATTGTTAGAAAATGCCCAACTATCAGTGGTAATGTGCAGCATTTTGGCCAATGAGATGACATAATAGCAGCTAGTATTTATCAAGTGCTTGCTAAGTGCCAGCCTTTATGTATGCTATCTGTCCTTTAACACTCCAAACAATCCTTATAAGGTGATACTATCATCCTCATATCTTAGATGGGGAAACTGAGGCTCTCTGTGGTAAAGTGCCGTGCCCAAGGGCCCAAAGCTGAACCCATGAAGCTAGGAAAAGGCAGAGCCAGGACTCTAACCCAAGCCAGCCTGATCCCATAGTTGTATTTTTAAGCACTCTGTGAGAACATCCTATATTTGTATATATCCAGGGAGTTCCAGCTAATTGTTACTGGATCAGTACATTCTGTGGTTGAATAAAACTGAAATATTTGGGTTTCTCCATTTTTCCTTATAAGGATTAACTACAGAATGTTCACATAGTCATTAAAAGTGCAGCTCAAGGTGCTGCCCTTTACAAACCCTGGAAAGGAAAGGAAGATGCAGAAGGAAGGGTTAAAGCCAAGAGGAGCACACGCTGTTAATTTCTATCATGGAACAAAGGATGGTGGTGAAAGGTGTCTTAACTTTTGAGCTGGGGGAAACAAAGTGATTTGAGTGATTCAGTCAATGTTTTACAGGCAGTAGGGCCGGCACATTTCAAGCTTCAGTGGATGCTGGAGGATAAAGGCCATCCCTCTTAATAGGGGGTATATGTCCTTAGAAGGGAGTGGACATTCCCAGTGTCAGTCACCCAGGAAAGAGGCATATTCCAGGGTGAGGTGGGATCTTGGAATGTGGGCTTTAGGAAGGAGATGGAACATCTTCCTCCTGTCAGGTAGGGTTCCCTTGGGGCTGGACTCGGAAAAGCCTCAGCCTATTTCAGTGGTAACAAGCATGGGCTCCAAGAAGTGAGGAAGCTCTTGGGAAGGGGGAGGCCTGTAGGTTCTGAAAGCAGCTAAACCCAGTAGACAGTTTTAAGTTATTCTCTCTCTGTTATTTCCTTGCCTACAAACCTTTAGGCAAGTCTTGTTGAACATTCTATTCTGCTTTCAATAGTGAAGTGGGATGATGGGGCCAGGTCTGTGTTCATCTTTAGAACAGAGAGAAAAACAGCCTCCTCCCAAGCCCAGCATTGTGGTGAAATGTGAACTTCAAGGGATAGGATTCTGGCCCCATCACCCCTCCAGAGCAGATGTTACTTCTTTTACTGTCAACATTGAATGATTGAGTGTTACTAAGAGATTCAGCAGGTTTCCCTCCAAATGTTATACAGACAGGGAGAAGATGGGCCTTGCTGAAGAGAGTCTATGTTGGAAGGATGAAGAAAAAGTTGGGTGGGCCCAGCTAATGAAAGGCCTTGAATTCATTAATTCATTCAGCTTACTGAATGCCTCTTATGTGCCACTGGGCAGTAGGCACTGGGAATACATCAGTGAACAACAAGTCTAACCCACTGGGGCCAGCAGATATTCTGGCAATGTCCTAGAATGTAAGGGGCCTTCAAAACTCATATCTGATGGGTCCTGTCCTCTAGGGGTTTACAGTTAAGGAAGGAGGTTACATTCTGAAGAGTTTAGCAATAATACCAGGCATCATTTTCACTCAGCAAATTTATTGAGTACATGAGCTAGGCCATGTATTATGTGCCAGAGAAATGAAACTAAAGAGACATGGCCCTTACCCTCATGGCACAGTGTTGTGGGAGAGACCAAAAAAAGAAATAAAAAAGCAAGTGAGCACATGGTAAATGCTAAGAAAGAAACTAATGAGGGCTGCTGGAAGGACAGTGGAACCTACTTTCGAGATGGTGGTCTGAGGAAAGCCTTTCCATTTGTAGCACATTCTTAGCAAAGGCCTTGAGGTGGGAAAATGATTAGCACCAAATAAAAGGCTGGAGGGGAACCCAGGGCAAGGGGTTGGGTTGACATGGATGTTAGGCAGGATTATGCAGAGCCTACTAGTCCGTGGTCATCTATGTAATTGGATAAACACGTGCCAGGTGCAGTACTAGCTTCTGGGACTAGAGCTGCCGACATTACCTACTGAAATGACTGATGCCCACTCCTACCCAACAAAGTATTCCATGGTTTGAATATATATTAGGAAAGGAAAAAAGGCATGAGGCATGGGAACGTTTGTGTTCTTCCCCACACAACAGCCAGGATGTTCCTTTCTAAACACATCTGGAAAAAACATAAAAAATCTGAAGCCATAGTAAGCCGACCTAGTTAAAAAAATAAAAGACACGTGACAGCATCACTCCCTTGGTTAACCAAATAAGTCAACTGCTTCCCATTGTTTAGGGTAAGTAAAATGAACACTTGTGTCCAAGCACCTTGCACGTATTAACTCATTTTATCCGTTAGTGCCGTCGTTCTCCCGGTTTTGCAGTGAGTAGGTGGAGGCGGAGAGAGGTCAGGCGACCTGCTCGAGATCGCAGTGAGAAAGTGACAGTAGGATTCTAACGCAGTGGGCCGGCTCCAGAGTCCACGCTCTCACCCAACCACCTACCTGACAGACTAAAGTCGCTACAACAGCCGGCGGGGCTCTGGCCCTAGGTGGCCTCTGCCCCACACCGGCTCCTGCGGGCCCCTCGCCCGGCTGCAGCCCGCGGGCACGGGGAGAGAGGAACGGTCGCGTCCCAGGCTCTCGTCTGCGTTCCGCCTCCTCCGCCACCGGAGGGCGCCGCGGGAGGTCGCCCCTCCGCTAACCCCTCATCCCTCGAGTAAGGGACGCACTGAGAGCGCGATGCCGACAGCGAAACCGCTGCGGCGCCTCCGCCTCCGCCTCCGCCTCTGGACTCAGGGCCGCGCGGCGGGCCTCCCGCCAAGGCCCCGCAGCCGGAGGAGCAGACGACAGTCACGTCCACGCTCGCAACGCTCAGAGAACTTACGGCGCTCACCCAGCGCGCCCTGCGTCAACCCCGCGGCAGGGGGAGGCGGAGCCCGGGCTGTCGCCCCGCCCACCTAGCTCACGTGACGGACGCCGCGGCCTCGAGGCCGGAAGCGCTCAGCAGCCGGCGCGCGCTGTGGCGTTCCCGGCGTCCGCGGCCATCCCCACGCCCGGCCCTGCCGCGCGCTCCTGCTCGTGCTCGTCCCCGCGGTCCGGAGAGCCCGGCGGCGGCCGCGCGCGCGCTGCCCGGCCCCGTCCCCGCCTCCAACCGCGCCGGCTCCCGGGTACCACCGCCATGTGCTCGCTAGCGTCGGGCGCTCCCGGTGGGTACCCCGGGCGCCGCAGCACGGCCTGCCCAGCCCCAGGCCGCGCCGCCGGGGGTCCGGGGACAGGCCGCCCCTCCCCTTGCGCCCCCGGGACGGGGAGGCGGGCGGGGGGCCCGCGGGAGAGCGGGGGTGGTCGTGAGGGCGGCGGCGAGGGGGCGCCGCCCCTCCCCGGTGTCGGGCAGCCCTGACCGTGTGCGTGTGCTAGGCGGCCGGGGCGCCGTGGAGGAGGACGACGACCCGCCAGAGCTGTCAGACAGCGGCGACGAGGCCGCCTGGGAGGACGCGGACGAGGACGAGGCGGGCCCGCCCCACGACAAGCAGCCGACCCCCTGCCTGTTCTGTGACAGGTGCGTCCGCGCGGCGCCGGGCCGCGTGCCCGTGTGGAGTGGAGTCGCCCCGGCGGCCTGCCCTCGAATCCTGGCCCAGCGGCCGAGCGAGGGTTGTAGGGGAGGAAGACCCCCCAGTCACAGAGGGAGGAGCCGCGCCGTGAAGCCCCCTGATACTACTGCCCTTCGACGGGCCTCAGGCTCCCCGCGTGTAAAGCGAGAGGGTTTGGGACTGGATCTGTGGTTCCCAACTCTGGTTGTGCGCCTTTGCCACCTGAGACACTTCAACAAGCCAGCAGGTGCTGAGCTCTGCCCCTCAGCCCTCCTAAATCAGGGATGGGGTCCAGGCGTCCTGTCTTCTTATAGAGACGCTATCAGAGGTGACTCCAGTGAATCACGAGTTTGGGAGTCAGGAAACTAGAGGATCCCTCGGGACCCTTGCAGCTTTACCATTATGTGCTTTTTTGACAAGCAGAGGGCTTCTCAGGTGTAATGTTTCCAGTGAGCCGTTGAAAGAAGCACTTTTCTTAGGTAACGGCCTCCCACCTATTGAAGGGAAAGCAATTGATGCCTTTTTCACTTAGGGAAAAAGAGACTATAATATCAATAACTTGTTCGAGGTCACTAAGCTCTGGTTTGTCATATCCAAATCTGTGTTCTTTCCACTTAGCATTCTGCCTCTTCGTCTCAACAAGCTTTGACTTGGGCCCTCTCCTGGCCAAGTGGGCAAGAAGGAGGCCTGGTTAGCATTGGCAGGTGTTACTTTAATACACATTTTCCAGTTTCCCCTAAATCTGGACCTGGTGCTCATTGGCGGTGTGTTAGTTCCTCTTGATTGGTCATTGTTCTCACGTGTAGCCTCATTTGGGTAGATATGGAACATCTACATATACTCTAGTCATGAAATATTTATTGAGCATTGGGGATGTCCTTCTTTATGATAGGCTGCATAAATACGGCGAAAATAACTTGTCTCGTAAACGTTCGTTGAAAGCTAACTGCTGCATATATGCTGGGCGTGTAGAAGAGGGATGCAGCTTCTCTGGTGTTCCTGTCTCTTGTGTCCTTCAGTTTTGCAGGTCACATAGTAAAGAGGCTTGGTCCTCGAAGTGTCTGTAGTGCAAGTACTTTGGGAACACTGCAAGATCACTTTTGAAATATAGCACTTTGGGAATATGCCAGCTGTAAAATGACATTTTATGCTTTATTTCTAAAAGCAGTTTGAGCTGTGCCACTTCAAAGCCTCTGAAAGCAGAGTTGATGCTTAAAGGACAGAAGAATCTTGTGTGGGGAATTTTCATGTCTTGAGGGAAACAGAATCTATCAAGGGGAGTTCTCTTTCTTAAAAGCCTTTTGATAAATTCATTGCTATCATTTGGCAAATAAATCAGCTTCGACATTTAAAGGGTAGTAGTTAGTTTGGTTTAGATGTAAAGTGGAACTCAGAAATACCAATTCCCTTTAGAAGTTCTGGGTTCCTCTCATTTACAGGCATGTTGTTTTCTCTTAATTGGAAATAAAACTAGAAACCAGCAGAGTTGGGGGGAAAAGTATATATTTAACATGAAATCAATGTTTAGACTTCTTGGGGGACTATTACATGAAGCTATTCCTTGATTTTTCAGGTTGTTTACATCTGCTGAAGAAACATTTTCACACTGTAAGTCTGAGCATCAATTTAGTATTGATAACATGGTCCATAAACATGGTGAGTATTTTTTAGAACAAAGAAAATTTTACTTGTGAAATTTAAGTTCAAACTTTATATTTTTCCAGACCTTTCCTTTTCTATATAAATCCAATATAATGAAACATATAGCAACAACCTATCTTATGAAAATAAAGTCTTTTTGACTAGTGGCTTTTAAGGAGAGATTAATTATAAGTCATTCTTCTAGCTAAGATTTACTGTATTAAAGCTTATATTGGCTTCACAACTAAAAAGGAAAAAAAAAACCTTGGTATGTGATTGCATTTTTATCATATTAGAATTAAAGACATCAAGAGAGTAAATGGAATTAGAGCAAGGGTAGAGGTGGACTTTGGAGAAGGAGGTGGGTCATTATGAAAAAAAGGCAACTTATCAGGTCAAAGCTATATAACATGAACTTCAAGGCATACAAGGTTGAGTTTTATAAGGAGTTTGGCAAGAGAGTATGGAGAAAGGGGTGATGAAGTTAAGGATATTTAGATGATTCTTTTGAATCTTGTTTAAACATACTTGCCTTACAATTAAAGCCTTCTACTTCCTTAAACGGATCTAGAAGAGCTGCACTGTTCCACTAAAATTAACTAAATACAGAATGGGTTTTTTGATCCCTGTATTTACTAACAACTAGAAAGGATGTTAGATAAACATCTGGTGTAATGTTTATAAGCCATAAATTTAACTGCAACTACTTTTTAAGACGTGAATAACTTAGTCTCATTGGGTTTTTTTTTTCATGTTTTTAATGTGCATTTTTAAACTGAATTGGAATCATACTTTAAATATAATTTTGTATTTTTTTCACTTGCCAAATAGGGGTTTTTGTATACTATTATGCATATAAAATATTTTGTATGCTAACATTTCTCATGACAAATAATAACCAGGTGGTAGGATATGCTATTGTTTTCTCTTGTTTTAAATGCTGCTTCATTTCTTGAAAGATATGATAACCAGATAATAAGCCTTGTTGTTTTTTAGTTTGCATCATTTAACTTAATGTAAAAGCTAGTATATTTTGTATACTCCATGTCCTGGCGCCATAAATTTGGTGTGCACCATACTTTGGTAGGCACCAAAAAATTGGGGATTTAGAAACTTGCAGCTCTAAAATCAATTGCCAAATACTTGGTAAAATCCAGGACCTAATTTTCCTGATTTGTGTTGTTCTGACAAATGGGAGTAGAATTCTAAAAATTAATTTCTAATTTTCCAAAAAGTAAGAAAAGCATTTAAAAATTTGTCATCTATGGCTGTTTCTCAATTAAAATATTCAGAAGCATCAAAGTTACTGTTTCTAGTTCTTAAGAAATTCAAAATATTATAAGTGGTAGTTATAGGACAGAAATATTTTATTGTTTAACCAGAGAAGCATCTATAGAGCAGGTCAGTTAAACAAAACTCATATTATTTTAAAATAAGTCAATTATCTTTTTTGTCCCCTTTAGGACTTGAATTTTATGGATACATTAAACTAATAAATTTTATTAGACTTAAGGTAAGTTGGTAGCTTAATTTACAATTTTGTTTAAAAACTAAAGAAATACCGCAATGACTGTCAATGCCCTGATTTTTAAAAGAACATGAGGAGCTGCTATATAAGGAACTGTTTTAAATTTAGCACTCATCATATTGTGGAAATCATGCACATTAGGAACTAGTGCAACATACAGCACCAAGTAAATGGACACACACCATACTTAACAAGTGTCGTTTTTAATTGCGTATAAGAGATGAATCAGTGTTATGTGAAAAAGTAACTCAGTGTCAGATAAAGGGAAATACTGATAGATGGTATTTCTGGAAAATCAGAAATAATTTTTAGTGTGGTTTTAAGTACTTTGGTGGTTCTTTTTTCTATTTCTATTTAAATGTTTATATTTCCATTTCCCCCAAATTCAAACAATATCAAACTGTGCATTGAAACCATTAATTAAGCAATTATCCAATCAAGTTAATGAAATGACAGATGAACATAGACTCCTTAAATAGAGATTTTGTGTAATGTAGACATGATTTCCTTTTTTGTTTAATTTTCCTAGTTTTTGCTAGAGGGCTTTTGTGATTATATGCAGTGAAAAAACATGTAATTAATTTTATATCCAGAATCCTACAGTTGAGTATATGAATTCTATATACAACCCAGTGCCTTGGGAGAAAGAAGAGTATTTGAAGCCAGTATTAGAAGATGACCTTTTACTTCAATTTGGTAAGATGAACATATTGTATCTACTTTAATGTATTATGGCAAAATAGTGGTTAGATGTTCTAGGAAAATTATCATCTCGTTAATTCTCTAAAGATCTCATCAGGTAGTTTCAATAGGAAAGTTAAGTCACTTAAAAACTGATAGTCACACTAACAGTGATGAGGGAGGAATTTGGAAATATGAGCTTGTTTAAACGTTGTGTACAGATGTTTTGAAGTGTAGGGAGACTGGAGAGAATAATTTTTAGTTGTTAGGTTGATTTTTAGTCTAATTAAAATTGACTAAAATTTTCATTTAAATTAACTGACATTTTTAAATCAGTAGATTTAATATTTAATAGATTTAATAATATTTGCTGCTTTTATCTCATATATTCAGATCAGATAATTGACTTTTCTTAAGACATCTACTTTACTGAGATTTTGTTTTGGTGTATCTCAGATTCTACTCAAATTTCCATTTGCTTGTCCCGGTACACTAACTTAAGCCTCCCTTTTGGCAGGATCACTCTCATTTCTTGACTATAGCTTTTTTCCTTAGTTACTTGCTCTGTGCTTTGGTTCGTTCCTTATTGAACAGGGATCTTGTGAAAATTCTCTTGGCCTCTTATAAATACTTTATAGGTCCGATATTTTTTCTTATTTATACCTTCTTTCAAGTTTCTTGTGTCAGTCAGATGAGATAAAGGGCTTGCTCTCTTCAGATTAACAAGACTATTCTAAACAGATATGTACCTTCACAGATAGTAGTTTGACAGTGTCTATTTGAGCAGTTCTTTGATTAGCGGGAACTGTGGAAAACCACTCATTTCCTTGAAAAGTACCATCATTAAGTTGTGTGGCAGTGTGATGTAGTACAATAGTAAGAACTTTAATTTCCACCTGCCGCCACTGTCTGGTGGTAAAGGGCTGTGTAGTCTAAGCCCCTTGCGCTCTGCCCCGGTTTTTCTGCTGCGATCCACAGTTTTTTTTTTTTTACCCCTGCTGTGATCCACGGGTCCAGTCATTTGATCAGGTCTGCCTCGGATCGCTAGGTCTGGTCTGGTCGGTTGAGCTGCAGAGTCCGGGTTGCGGGGAGGGGGGAGCTCTCTCTTTTGCCCTCTGGGTCCCTGACGTGGGAGGCTTCTCGTTTGCCCCTCTTTATCCGCTCTCTGGGATGCTCAGATGTTGATGGTAGCCCTGTGGCTCCTCTGAGTCCTCTGTGCGGGAGTTTCCCACTGGCTGAGAGAGTCCGAAGAGCCACGGTTTCCCCGCCGAGGGCCGCCCCTCCCCCCTCTCTGGGAGCTGCGCGGACCGGGATCGCTGATCTGATGGGGAGGGAGAGGAGTTCTCCTTACCTCTCCCCACTTCCTCCAGGGGCCCAGCACGTTCCGCTCTCAGATGTGCGGCAGTGTGGATCCCTCCGCTCTAGGTTTTCACTGTCTGGGATTCCCTTGTTGGTCTGTGACTGTTGCTTTTGTTGTATCTTGTCGGGGGAAGAGTTCACGGGAAAGCTCACTCCGCCATGATGCTCAATAGTAAGAACTTTAATGTGGGATTCAGGAGCTGTGTGACCTTGGGCAAAGCACTTAAGTTTTCTGGTTTTAAGTCTTCATTTATAAAATGAGGAATTAGGGCCAGATTTCTGAGATTCTTTCTAGCTCTAAAATTTGGTGAGTTCCAGGTTGATTCTGTCCCTTTTTTACCACTTCTCTTTAATCTCATGTCTTCTCAGAGTGACCAAAGTGATCTCTTTGATAAATGACAAAGGGCCCACTAGGTGCTCTTTATGACTTCTTCCTGAATTCAAAATCATTTATTGAACACTCACAGGATGCAAGTAGGATGTTAAATGCTTTAGGAACATGAAGAAATGAATGTCACAGTCCTTCCATAGAAAGCCCACAGTCTAATAATAGGAGTGCTTTGTTTTTAAATGTCTATTCTGTATTATAAGGTCAAATATGGTAAGTTTCATGAGAAGTAGAAAAGGTAGTGCAGTTCAGAAGAGGAAGAGATTACTCACATCAGCAGATACTGAGTGCTGTGTGCTGATCACTGTGGATACAGGTCAGTATTGACCTCTAACTCTCCAACGGTATAGAAACTTAATTTCTTTCAGCCTTAATTTTAATTTGTAAAAAGGTGATAATGACATCTGCGTTATAAGATTGTTACAAAGATAATACACATTAGCATAGTATCTGTCAGAGGGTAAGTGCTTAGAAAGGGGAATTAGTAAATAAATAAGTTCTACAGGAGTTTAGGTGAAGAAGTTATAACTGAGATCTGGGACAAAGAGGCCTCGTAAAGGAAGTGGAACTTGAACTGGGCATGCTCTTGAGTGCACTGCCCACACTCTCTCAGTCTGTACTCCTGGCCATTGGTGGGGAGAGGTGGAAGATAAGGTCATCTTTCTCCTGGCTCCAGGCTTGATTACTGACCATTTCACCTCCACTGTCTTTCAGTAAATATTTATCAAGCATCTGCTAAGTATTAGGCATTGAGGATATAAAGATGACTAAACTAGTAAAGGAGATAACTAAGAAAATAGGCAATGAAGTACAATATAAGGAGAAAAAAGTAATTTTAGAGAAAAGGTTGTCATCAGTGATAAATCATGTTGATAGTAGGTACCTTTGATGTGACGTGATGAGATTGGCATTTCACCTCTGTGGTCTTCATTCCAAAACACGTAACCTCAGTCTAACTGTGAAAAAGCATCAGACTCAAAGTGAGGGACATTCTACAAACTACCTGACCAGTACTCCTCAAAACTGTCAAGGTCATCAAAAACAAAGAAGGCCTGAGAATCTCATGGCCAAGAGGGGCTTAAGGAGACATCACTACTAAATGAATTGTGGTGTCGTGGGTGGGATCTTGGAACAGAAAGGGAGCATGAGGGACAAATTAAAGAAATCGAAGTGAATAAAATGGAGTTTGGTTAATTTTTTTTAAAAGTATGGTATAATATTTGGAATATATTCCATAAAGGGTTAATATCCTTTTATACATAAAGACTTCTTAGAAATTGAAGGACAGAGGATCAAGCACTTGTTAGAACAGTGGGAAAAAATAAATGATTAGACAGTTTACCAGAAAAGGTATAAAAATAGCCCAACATCAAGATACCATTTCTCACCTATCAGACTGGTAAAACTTTTTTAAACGTGACAGCATGTTCTGTTGAAAGGCTGTGGAGAGACGAGCACTGTCATACATTGCTAGTGGAATGCATATTTGGCAATACCTAACAAGACTATATATCCACTCACTTTTTAACCCAGCAGTCTCACTCATAAGAATCTATCTCGAAGATACACCTCCAACATTCTGAAAATACGTGTACACAAGGTTATTCATTGTTCCATTGTAATTTCAAAATATTGAAAACAACCTAAATGCCTATACATAGGAGAGTTCTTGAATAAGCTGTGGTTCATCCACACAGTCGAGTCGTCTACATCTATTAAAAAGAATGAAGATGATCTCTGAACTGATACAAAGTGATATCCAGGACATACTATTAAACGAAAAAAGGCAAAGCCCAAAAGAATGTCTGTAGTATTATACTCCTCATGTAAGAAAGAAAGGGATTTGAGAAAATGCACACGTGTCTGCTCATTTGTGCAAAAGAAATACAGGAAGGACAACCCAGAAACTAAAGAGATTAGCTACTGACGGGGATTAATGGGACCAGGAAGGAAAGAAGAGCGCAATGGAACGAGGTACCAGGGGTAAGGAGCGAGGACACTTCTTGGAGTGTGTCCTTTTGTCTAGCTCCGACTCTTAGCACTATAGTAATGTTTCTCTTAGTCTTCATATAATCAAAAAATCAACAGTTGAAACAACCAGGATGTGTGAGAGTGGTGGTGCAGAATGGAATACAAACACTAACAAATGAACCTAACTCTATTACCAAGGAGTGGTATAACCACATTGAAGGGGGGGGGGAAGAAGAGAACTACCTGAGTGACCGGAATGTGACTGGATATTGTGCTGAGGCTATAGATAAAAAGAACTGCATAAGTGCTGTAATCTAATAAGGAAAGGTGTTTCTCTCAGCGTATAGATTAGCAATTCTGACACTATTTTTTGTGTATACTAGAATTGAACAAGCAAGTAAATATACTACGGATAATAAGAGCCAGGTTTCTCACTGTTGGAGGAGGTTTCAAATAAGGAAATGGGGAAGGATGAAATGAGTCCTGTGGTGATAGATCAGAATCAGAAGTATCAGTATAAATTCACGATTTTTAATATATATATTTATATATATACATACACACACAGAAATACAGATTTTTGTGCACATGTGGGTGAGTATACATATGTATATTTCCTAGCTCTTTGCTGAGAGGGCCTAGAAAAACCCCAGTAGCAATGAGCATAACTAGTGCCCAGATCTTGATTTATAACACCATTCTCCAGTAAAAGGAACCAAGGCTCCTTAGAGAGGTGATTGATTCCATGGACAGGGCAGGGAAAAATACAAGATGAGTCTGGGACATCTTGTGCCAGAAAATAAGAAAGTACTTAAAAAGAAAAAGTGGAGGAGGAAAGGACTTAGCAAAAGAACACAGGAGCCCACCTGAAGGAGCTCCTAGTGGCCAAAGCTGGGGTAATTTGAGCAACACAGAAAATGATAGTATTGGGTTTTAACCCACAGGATAAAATAAATATCCATGAGTCCATACTGACATAAATAATCAACCAAATAAATCAATGGAGAGGGAGCAGCTTAGCCTTAGAGTAGAATTCCTATCAATAAATGTTGAGGAATAAAGAAATAGAAAATTACCATTAGGCAAACACCACAGTAATAACTTGCAGAAAAGGTCTACCAATGGATGCTAAGATTAGTGGGCAAAAATCTAAGGTGAAACAGGATTTGTGTAGTTCAAGGTATGTCCTCCTAGAAATTTATTAAGTAGAGAGGAAATGTTACCTGTTCAGTGGAGAAATCCAACAGACACCATCACAACCAGCATCACCAGTAATGAGGCATATTGACACCATGAGCCCCTTGGTATAATGCACTGAGGACATATCATTTCTCTGCTGTTCTTGCCAAAAATGTGCAGCCTCGTTCCAATCATGAAAAAACATCAGACAAACCCAGGTTGTGAGACATTCTGCGAAATCACTGGTCAGTACTCTTGAAAAGTGTCAAGATACAGTTACTGGGTGCAGTATTCTCTAAATAATCAGTTCAAGGTACTGAATGTTTTGTTTAGATCTTTTATGTCTTTTTGGATTTTTTAAAATCTAGTTCTCTCAGTTGTTGGTAGGGGTGTGTTTAAATCTCTGTGATTGAAGGATTGTCTGTTTTTGCCTTTAATTCTGTCAGTTTTTGCTTCATGTATTTTGGAGCTCTTTTGTGAGGTTTATACTCATTTATAATTGTTACGTCTTTCTGATAAATTGGCCGTCTTTTGTAGTTCTCAGCTGCCAAAGTGAAGTATCCAGGTGATTTGAACCTCCTGAGACAGAATGTAGATGTGGAAATTCGTCTTTCTGAATATGGTTTAGGACTTTGAGTTGGACTGTTTTGATAAATTACAGTTATGAATCTTAATGTTTACTGAATCCTTTCTCCTTTTCAAATCTATACATTTAACCTTTAGCATATGATTATCTACATATTAATGCTAAAAGTTTTTATTCTAACTTTTCTTAGAGCAGAAAGCAAAACAGAAACTTGCCAAAACAAAGAAACCAATTTCTTTGTTCAGTTCTAATCCATAACTTAAACTAACAAGGTGGTTTGCAAACAGTCTGAAGAATTTTGAAGACAAGATACACAATGATAGTTGTAGTAGGAAGTAGAAGCTATGGTACACCATCCTGAAATAGTTTGGAAATATTTTGTTGCTCTCATTTTCAGTGAATTAAATAGTGAATGAATCTGTAGCTTTTAAAAATGACTCAGTATTCTGCGAGACTGACTAGAGATCAGTGGCGCCCTGCACTGCTTTTATAACAAGAAGTTCACCTTAGGCTCTGATCTCTAAGTTATAATATTATCTTGTGTGTTAAGCTTAGTTGTTTTGTCCCAACTCAAAAGAAGTGTCTCAACTGAAAACTGAGTAGGAAAAATAAAGTCATATTTCCGCCAGTGCTGTGACTTGAGGAGAAAATAAAATCTGTGTAGTTTTGATTGCTTTAAGTTGATCAGATAGTTAATTAGACTGGTAAATGGACATTGAGATTTTATAAAACTCACTAACTCCATATGTTAACTTCCATTTGCAGAGTTCTGCAGTAGAAGTTAAAGATTTATATATAGTGAAATTAAATTTAAATCAAAAAATTTTAATAATATTAGGAATTAGGATATTTAGTAATGTCAGAAATAAGATGTTGGTGTATAGGTTGCACTCCTCCTTACCCAGGGTGAAAAAGTTATTGAATGTATAGAATTCTTTATCTACATACTGTCCTTAAGGAATATCTAAATTTCATACCTGTTACTCTACAGATAAGGACCCAGAGGCTGAGAGCTGGCCTTCCGGAGTGGCAAGAACATGGGCTAGGAGGCAGGCAAGGGCTCCAGTCTTAGTTCCTTCATTACACAGTGTATGACTTTGAGCTAGTCACTTAATTTCTCTGAAGTTTATTTTTCCCATACCTTGAAATAGGGATAAATAGGTTTGTTTTGAGGATAAAATGAGATGTAATGTATGTACTTGAAAGATACCTGGTGATCAATAAATATTAGGGTTTTTTCTTCTACTTTTTTGTTTCTTCCTGGGTTTGGTTCAGTATAATTAATGTTTATATATGTGTTCAATTTAGCCAATTAATGAAAAACTTAGACTAACAGCATGCTCTTTAAATTCAAAATGAAACAGTTTCGATAGTAAATATTTAATTAAAAGTACTTTTACTAATTTTTCTCAGTTGGTAGCATAATAGGCTCTTAGTATATACTTATTCTTAGCATATACTTATTCCTAACTTACATGTGCTTCATTGTTATAAGATGGCCTGATAATAATGTCCATTTATTTCTTTAGATGTAGAAGATCTTTATGAACCGGTGTCAGTCCAGTTCTCGTACCCCAATGGACTCAGTGATAACACATGTGCTGTTGAAAAATTGAAACATATGGAAGCCAGGGCACTGTCTGCTGAAGCTGCGTTAGCTAGAGCACGTGAGGATCTACAAAAAATGAAGTAATTAATCAATCTTATAGAAAATTAATTGTTTAGATTCCTAAAATAATACAGCTAATAACAAGGTAGAATATGGGAAGACATTTCATGTGCTGGAAAGCATAATGCAAGTATTTAATTTTAGTAATACTAAAGATATGTAGCATTTTTATATGTTGTGGGTATAGTTGATTAACATAAACTTCTGTAGTTTTATTTGTTTCCCATAGACTTCTTTATAATTACTTTTGTACTAGTGGTAATTGTTCCGAGGAGTGTTGTCTTCTTGAGTGTTCTTGTTTTTGATATTGCCTTCCTTTGAATTAACCATGTTTCTAATAGATTTCTCCATTTTACTTTTCCTCTCCTAGGCTTTTAAAGTGGAGAGATTAATATTTTTTAGGTTTGGGAAAATACGTGGTTGCAATTTTTGTTTTCAAAGAATCAAAATATAATCATGATGTAGTATTTAATCAGAAAACCAGATACATAGGACTATTTTCTCCAGTGAGTAAATTGGCATTCTACTGGCTTAGTACTTCTCGGAATTTAATGTGCACATGAATCACCTGGGGATCTTGTTAAACTGTAGATTCTGATTCAGGAGGTCTGGAGTAGGGCCTGAGATTCTGCATTTCTACCAAGTATACCTCTAGCTTTACCGATTAGATTTGTAAGTTGGTTGCTATTGCCTGAGTACCCACTTGATGGTTTGCCAGGACGTCCAGCAGGAAAGATAGTATAGCTGATTGTAGGTCCCCTTCCCTGTTTCTGAGATTCTATGCTGGGTAACCTATTAACCAACAACAACTCTATCTGCCTTTTTGCACTTTTCTCCAGTGCATATCGTATAGGTTTGTTTGTTTGTTTGTTTGTGAGGAAGATTAGCCCTGAACTAACATCCAATGCCAATCCTCCTCTTTTTGCTGAGGAAGACTGGCCCTGGGCTAACATCTGTGCCCATCTTCCTCTACTTTATATGGGACACCACCACAGCGTGGCTTGACAAATGGTGCGTCGGTGTGTGCCCAGGATCTGAACCTGCGAACCCTGTGGTTCGCTGTGGTGGAGCGTGTGCACTTAACCACTAAGCCGCTGGGCCGGCCCCCTGTCATTCTTAATGTGTCGTTATCAGAGAGGGAACTGAATTTTAGAGATGGAGTGGATGATGTTGGTGTATGTAAATAATTCTCAATTTGGTTCCACTTTCTGCTCAGATAACCCTTCCATGAAATAATATGGTTTTAAAGAATATTAGTAGCACTGAAATATACTACATTGACTCACTGCTAAAATAGGATTTTGGGAAAATAGAAGTAATATAATTGAATAAAGATAATGTGCTTATTTTGTTCAGTTGCAAGATGTAAACAGCTATAATCCGTAGTTGACAGTGTTTTGTGGTTTGCAGAAGGAATGCTTACCACTGGGTTTGAATATACCATTGCTTAAGATCCAGCAGGGGGAGCTTTCAGTTACTTAGGATAGAATGTGATTTAGAAGCTCATCGCACTCCACTCCCTCCCCCTTCTCTTCTCAGCCTCTAGCCTTTGGTTTTTTCATGGTCCAATAAACCTGTCTCAAGGGTGTATTTCAAATTGATTACAGACAATTTGCTCAGGATTTTGTGATGAACGCAGATGTCAGAAGCTGCTCGTCATCTACTACTGCCATTGCAGACCTCCAGGAGGATGAGGATGGTGTTTATTTCAGCTCATACGGGCATTATGGGATACATGAAGAAATGCTAAAGGTTAGAAAAGAGCACAAATACACCAAATCCATCCTAAAGGAAAAATAGAATAAAACAGGTTCTTAATACTTATGCTGTAGGAGAACTGCTTTTTTTTAAGAACTGCTTTTTAAATCTCTTTGGTACTTGATAGCTCATCTTGTGTTGAAAAGATTGTAGAAGTATCTTAGTCTTTATTATGAAATTACTTTTGCTTGAAATAGAACGTTGGAAAAAAACAACTGCTGAAAAAAACAACTGCTGACAATTTTAGTCTTCTCAAGAACAGCTATTAAAGAGGAACAAATTATATATTTGCCTTTTAATGTACGAAGGAAATGATTTATTTTAGTGTTTTAAATAGCCATACTGACTTCAGTGTGGGCAGATAATTCGTTGTTACAAAGTTTAATTATAAATAATTCTCACAATTGTTATGGCATAACTTTTTTATATTTGAAATCATTGATAGAGGAATTTCTTCAATTGATCGCATCAGATATTTAAATTTGGTTTTAATCTTTATGATGATAGTGTTCATATAAAATATAAAGTAGGTTTCTAGCTATAACCAATAGTTATACACCTTTTCAGGTATTATATTGTAGATTGTAAAATAGCAAGTTGTTATTTTTTAATTGAGTAAAACTGAAAATATCTAACTAGAGTGAAGCAAATGTTAGAATGGGAAAATTATTGAAAATTTTAGATGTTTATCTCTGAATTTTAAATGCCAGTGCCTTTTCTTCTCTTAAAACCAATAAACAAAAAATCCTTCCTAAATCCTTCCTCAAAAGATTGTTTTATTTTGTGGAAGCCCTAAGACTATGTTCCTTTGAAGCATGTGCATTTAAAATAACCAGGGATATTTAATAACGTGTATACATTTTATTGAGTCAGTTTTGTAGGATCACAGAGTGGAAGTTTGCTGATTAATAATAGTTGTGGTTACTTGGGATCTTTTAAAACAGTGTCATGTCATTTCTTTGATAATGACATGTCATGGTTGTGCTTTTTGTTGTCACTTGGGTAATGGCATAGCATTACAAATAGCAGTTATCTTATTATAAGTAATAAATTATTTTATTTTAAGTCCAGAGTGAATTTGTTTAAAAGAAATTGAATTACTCCGTTTTCTTTGTCAAAATTTTATTGTTTCTAGAATATTTTCTTCAAAGGAGTTTAATCTAAGCCCATGTTTGTCATTTTAAATTACCCCATCAATTTAAATGCATGAACCTTTAATGCCTTTGGTATGGAAATTGTTTTGGGTTTTTCAGACAGATAGGTGAAAGACTCCCAGTAGATAGTACATACGAGTGTACCCAGTACATCATCAGGGCAATCCAGTTTGAGTACTTATTTGCACACCTGGACACGGGTAGCTGTATATCAGTAGCTAGAGGATCTTCATACCTGATGGGATATCTTTAAGTCTTTTTGAGGTACATACAGATTTAAGAAGTTCCAGCTTGAAGTTTCCAGTGCTATCTTTTCCTTCCTAGGGAATCACTTGAGAATACTTATTAATATAATTCTCCATGCCTTAGTTCCCCTTAGTTGTTATACAGTGTAATTACGTCTCCTTGGAAATGACTTAGGTGTTCATAGGAAATATGGATATATTCCGTTCAAAGAGAACTATGTATCCATTTTTTATTTTGCTAAGTGGATGAATATGAAATGTGTCTTATATCAAGCAATATTTCTTCTGTTTCTTATCAAAACAATGCTATCAGAATCTCACCTGATCTTTATAAATAGTTTAAAATTGAGCAACCATATATACAGGACTTATTTTTATGCTTAGAATTGGTCTTGCTTTTATAGGAATATTATTTGGATTTTTTGTTGCTTAGTCTCATATTTTAATGGCACCATTTTGGCATATGTTGTGATTATAGTTATAAATAAAGGTAGTTCATGATTTTATTTTCTGAAGTTAAGATGACGATAACTTTTTTGAATTCCAGAGATATAGCTGATAGAGGGCTAGATTACAAGAACTTTGAAAAATCCTTTACCACTTTATCTTTCTGAAGAAGAGTCATTGTTATCTAATGTTATAAATCTGAGATGCATCACCCTCTCTTTCCAAGAAAAAAACTGTTCATCCTGGTGAACATTTATTACAGATTGTGTTACCATTAAATAATTTTTCTTTACTGCATTCTCCTCATTGACTCTGCAGCTGACTCATGCATTCTGTCCACCTTCCTGAGCCTATGCATTTAAAACTTACTGTTATTTATATATGTAAAATTTATAGTAGATAACTTTTTGGTTGTCTTTAGTCTCATTCTTAAAATTTTTTTTATATTTGTAGGAATAATTCCGTGATACTTTGCTAGTCTTAAAAGATTATCTTGCTTCTTAGTATTGGAGCTCTAATTTTATTCTTCTTTTGTATTTTTTAGTTTTAATAGGTTGGTGCAAAAGATAAATTTTTAATTTCTGTTTATTACCTTATTTTGTATTGAAGCATTAATCTTTTGTTAGAGTAAATATTTTTAAATGGTTATGACGGCTAGTCTTTTATTGGGTTGCATTTTCATGTTTAGTCAATTTTTCTTTAAAAAATTCAGTTATTAAATTGAAGCTCTGCTATGTCTGAGGCACTATGTTTGGTATACTTTGGATTTCATTGTTCTAGGGTGAGCCTATGAACAAAAGCAGGTGGATACGTAGAAAGCCTGGATGAAGGATAGAAGTTGAGCCAGCAGTGCGTGGACTTAGAACAGGAGTTGGGATGCTAGTGGTTAAGTGGGAGCTGTGGTGAGGCAGTGGCATTGGTGGGAGCTCTCCGAGGGATGGCCTCCTTGATGCTCACCCTTTGTAGGTTCTGCTGCGTCAGCAAAAATCACTGGTTATGGTGTAAGAAGAATATAGAAATGGTAAAAATGTATGAAATGGTATTTTTTTTTAAAAAAGATAGCTTTAAAATTAATTATATGTGTAAATTTACTTAAACATTAGATTCTTTCAGTAATTCTTAAAATAACTTTCAGGGGAAGATTTAATAAGGCTGATTTAAAATTTTGTTTGTGAAGCATTTAAAAATAATTTTATTAGAAAGCCTGGAATTAATTATGGAATTCCCCTTTTTTAGATCCCGTAATTAAGTAAAACAACTTGCTCTTTAATTTAAGACCTCCTGTATATGTTTTTTGTAAATCCCAATATTGGCATAAAAATGTTTTTTGAGGGGTATGGATTGTATAAATTTTGATATTGTAGCATTTGTGTAACTGCTTTCTTTGTACCCGGCGTGAAACACAAAACTAGAATTCCCAGTCTGAGGTCTTTGTATCATACTCATTTTACTCATTTGGCAGCAGAGCCCCTTACTGCTAAATTTGCTATCAGTATGTGTGTCTCAACTGAGGTAATTTAAAAGGGAATCAGCTCTGTTCATGAACCAACATGAATGTTAGCGTTCAGTGCCTGCGTTGGTCACAGGTCACGTGAGGCTCCAGGGTGTAGACATCTCATAATGTGGGCTGCAGGGCTCAAATGATGTAGGCTTATAAGCATTGTTTCCTACTACAGACATTTCTAAGAACAAAACAGGATTATAAGTCAGATAGGTGCTGATCAATGACTTTCTTAGAAAACCCGTGCTCAATTGAGCTTCATTGTGCATATGTAACTATAACACACATTTATCAATTTTGGGTTTTTTCTCGTGTATTTTAACATAGCTGTACTATATGGAGTCAGATTCTAGATTCCAGGCCCTTTTTAATTTTTTGTTTATTGCAGTAACATTGGTTTATGACATTGTAAAAATTTCAGGTGTACATCATTGTACTTCTATTTCTGCATAGATTACATCATGTTTCCAGGCCCTTTTTAAAGGAGCAAAGCATCATGTTCATCTTCTTTTAGCTTTAATTATCAGTTGAAGTCTTATAATGATAATGCATGTCAAGACCAAAATGTATACATTTTTAAGAACTTAGATACTTGACTTTCAGTGATGTTCTTAAATGTTTTCTTTGTGTTATTGCTACTTCTATTATTTACTGTGTTCTTTTAGGAAAAAAAAATTAAGCTTGGTTTTCAGGCAAAAAGTAGTTATGGAAGCTAGCAATGTGTGATAAAATAGCAAATATCTTCCTAAAAAGTTTTGTTTGTTCAGACTAGCTTGTAAACACAATGTTTTCCTCTCTCCACCCTAGGACAAAGTACGAACAGAAAGTTACCGAGATTTTATATACCAAAACCCACATATCTTCAAAGACAAGGTGAGTAGCATAGGCTGCAGAATTATACATTTCAGTTGTGCATCATGGGGATCTTGGGCGGTAGACGTGCTCTCTTGGGTCATCATTGTGATAGCAGTTAATGTAATGTACTCTGGCTTTATTTCATGGAAGACTTTTGTGATGCTGTTCTGTGGTGCAGAGTACTGATAACAGAAATGCTGGTTGGTGCTGTCATTCAGTATACTCTTTTTAAATTGAAATTCATTAATTACAATGACATAGCTTAGTTAAATTTGGCTTATCCAAGATATTTTGCTTAAATCATATTTTTGATTTACTGTGATTCCTGTGAGTTTCAAATGTATCAGATAAGCCCCAGACCAAAGCACACTTTTAATTATTATTCTCATCTGTGTTAGTTAAAAATTAATAATTTTAAGAAGTTATTATTGATAAGTAGGGTCAGATATTGTAAGGTATAATTTATTTTGTGCTTTCTTTTTAATACCTCCTTTATTTACCCCTTTATGAGACATTTTATATTTTACAATTCATCTTAATACTGTCTCAGGTTATTTCAAAGATGATCTTTGACACTGTGTGTGTGTTTGTGTGTTTGAAATTTGTGTCATTTGTTTTTCTTCCCTTGTGAATTTTTTGCATTTTTTTCTTCACTTCCTCCTCTTCTCCCTCTCTGTGTTGGAATGGTTGCCTAAAAGTTCAGGTTTTCTGTTTGTTCTTCCTTATTGGAAATTAGTCTATTAATTGAGTCAGGAATATTATCATCTCTGCCATTTATATATCTTTGGGAATTTTCCCTTACTCTTTCCCCTTCAAGAACGCGTATATTGATAGCATATCAGGTTTTTGTAATTTCCCTTTCACCTCCATTTTACCAAGCTTTTTGTTTGCTGAGGAAGATTCACCCTGAACTAACATCTGTTGCCAATCTTCCTGTTTTTATATGTGAGCTGCCACCACAGCATGGCCAGTGACAAGTGAGTGGTGTAGGTCCATGCCCAGGGACCGAACCTGGGCCGCCAAAACCGAGTGCACCGAACTTAACCACTAGGCCACCGGGGCTGCCATCTTAAAAGATACTTCTCTAAGATTATTTCGTGAGCTTTACATGATATTGCAGCAGTGACCATTTTGAAAAATCTCTTTTCCTGATTTTTATATTGTTTGGAATTTAATATAGATTGGCTTTTCATTTTCCATATCTATTTCCTAAGAGCAGTGTTTTACTTGTGACTAGCTGAGTTGGACAATTGAAATTTATATGGTGCTCTGCTATCTTTTGGCTAAAGCATTATCTATCATGAAAGGTTTATGATGGTGTCTGTTCCTTTGTTTTTGCTGATTCCCGCTGTAGACATATAGATGATTTCATTTTTAAAATCTTAGTTTTTATCAGTTCTTTGTACTTAGCTTTTTTGTGTGCTTTTTATATGTTATTGCAGTAGAGACTAAGAATTTTTTTTATATTAGGTTTTATATTTGCACCCAAGTACTGGAAACAATTTATTTAATATGTGTGTCTAGAAAATGACTTTGTTTCCAGTGAAACAAATATGTTACTATTAAAAATTTTGCTTTATATTTTTAATTAGATTATGCCCAGGTTTTTATTTTTATTTTTCCTTAATATGTTGTATAGCAAATAAGCATGTACTGCTCTGGGAATCACTAGTCCTGCCTTGATTCTTAGGAACCAGCCATATAATTTTAGGCAAGTGGTGAATCTTTTTGGGCCTCATCTGTAAAATGATTTTTTAAGCCCTTCTGGTTCTAAAATTTATGATTTTTGTTATTATAGAAACACCGTCATTGTCTTTCTTTGAGTCATCTTTTCTTAATACTTTTTGATACGAGTATGATAAGAATTTGTTAAGTGAAAGTAGGTTAGAAGTTGCTTTTTAGTAGGCTCCTGAATAGACTTTTGTCTTATAATATGTAAGAAAATACTGAAAAGTCACTTAATAATCATAAGATTAAACGTTGAGAAATTATGTATGGTCATGTGCTGCATAACGACATTTTAGTCAATGGCAGACCACGTATAAATGGTGGTCCCATAAGATTAGTACCCTACTGCCTAGGTGTGTAGTAGGCTATACCATTCAGGCTTGTGTAGGTGCACTCTATGATGTTCACACAGTGACAGAATCGCCTAGCGACGAGTTTCTCAGAACGTATCCCGTTGTTAAGTGGCACATGACTATAATTGTGAATATTTCTATGTATGTGGAGTACATCTTACTGGCTTCATAGACCTATACACAGTCACTTTCTGTTTCTAGTTTTTTAATTTATAACAGTATTATCGAAATGCTGTATGTATTATATTATACATTTTTTGACAAATACATGACCATGGAAAGTACAATCTTTCATTATTTTGTGTTCCGGTCCCTGCTCTTCCTGAAGAGGTTAAATCTGCCAAAGTCAGAACAGGGCTTATTAGTAAATCGGGAGTATTTTTCCTTAGTACTTTGCCTAAGGTGTTTTCATTTAACATATTAACGTGTAATTAGCTTTGCTTGGCATTTATGGTTTCTCAAAAATATGCAGTCATGCATCACTTAACGGTAGGGGTAAGTCCTGAGAAATGTGTCCTTAGGAGATTTTGTTGCTGTGCGAACATGATTGAGTGTGTTTACACAAACCTGGATGGTGTAGCCTCCTACACACCTAGGCTCCATGGTACTGATCTTATGGGTGGTGTAACCTCCTACACACCTGGGCTGTATGGTGCTGATCTTACGGGACCACCATCGTATGTGCAGTCTGTGGTTGACCCGAACCTCATTATGTGGCACGTGACTACTGTAATGTAAAATATTATATGTATCAATTTTTAACTCCTTAGAGCACACTCAAGGTACAATTTTCTGTAATTAGCAATATTAAATAATCTAGAGCTTTCATATTTTTAAATGATTTGGGATGCTTTTCTTCATTATACTATGGCTGCAGATTGAGAAAATATATTACTATATATTAAATAGCATTTGATAGTTTGTAGATTACTTTCAGTCATGTTGTCTCATTGTTACTATACAATATACCTATAACTAGGCAGGACCACTATTCATCTCCATTTTACACATGAGGAGACTTGAAACCAATAAGTTAATTGACTTGTCCTAAAACAGGCAACTAAAAAAAAAAAAACCTGACGGTTTTTCCTGTTAGTCCAGTGCCCTTAACTGTGCCACTACACTTTGAACACCATATGTTAAAATAGAATGAGTCAGTAATTAGGGTGGGGTCCATTAGTTGCATTTTAATTCACACTATTTTTCATGTATAGGTCATATAATTTCTGTCTGCCATGACAGAATATGTTCATGAAATTATTTAAGTATAATTTTTAAAAAATCTATGAAATAACATGTTTTCCTAAGTTTTATTACCATTGTTTTTGTTTGCTTTATCTCCATTAGGTAGACGACCTTCATATCACAACACTAGCTCCTGTATCCTATTATGTAGCGCAGAGTAGAGATGTATTTTTGAAAAAGGTGCTTATAATTGAAATGTGTTTCTTCTCCCTTCCTTCCCTTTTCCCCATTGCTCCCTTCCTGCCTCCTTTCCTTCATTCCTTAATGTTTCAGTTCACAGAGCCCCTGTGGAGGCCATATGGTTTCTCAGATTTAATTTAACTTTGGGTGGCATTTAATCGTGTTATCACCCACTCATAATTAATTTCTATTTGTAGTCCGTTGAAGAAATTCACAGTTAGGGGCCTTGTTTATGCTTTTGATTATTATCTACAGTTAAATTGTATTCACTTTTTTCCTTAGAAAAAGTGAATCAAATTCCTTCATCATTTTATAAAATAATGTTAGTTTATTTGGTTATCATTTCTACCTCTTTCTTTGATTCTATCAAGTTTTAGTTTATTTGCCCAGTTACCTAATTCTGAGCTAGATGTAATAAATAATTAACATACAATTTAAAATATAATTTAAATATAGGCTTTAAAAGCAGATTGACCTGCGTTTGAATGCTGGCTTTACAAATGACCAGCTGTTACTTTCCTTATCTGAAGCTACCTGCACCTGTTACTTTCCTTATCTGAAGCTCACTTTCCTCATTTGCAAAATGAGGGTTAAATAAGAATTATATATATATGCATATGTGTATAAGATATAAATATGTGTGTGTGTATGTATAGTCTTACAAAAGAACCCATACTCTAATTGTAGTATATGATATGTATCCTTCTGTACTTAGCTTTCTTCACTCAGCAGTTTTTCTTAGAGATAATTCCTTATTAACATTCTTTTAATGGCTCATACATCCAATGTAAGAATGTCCATAAGTTGTTTTGTTGTCTATAAGTTAGAACAATGCTGCATATAAAATATTAAAAATCTTTGTATATATGTAAGAGTACAATAATAAGATAAATTCCTAGCAGTGGACTCCCAGGGTCAAAAAGGTTATACCCTGCATGGTGGTAGTGCTGCCAACTTGTCTTTTCATCAGCCGTGTGTGAGTGTTGATGTTCCCAAACACCATTACCAAAGCACTGTGTAATTCCACACCAACCTTTTATTTATAGTTTTTTAGTTTTGAAAATATCTTATTTCAATGAAAGTTTTTGGGAACTTATCACTTAGTGTTGTGTTGTATATATTTTTCCATTTCATTATCATTTTATGCTGTATAATATTTCAAATTGATATACTGTAATCATACTATAAACATGCTATGCATTATAGTATTTTCTTGCTGATGTAGTTTATACATTTTATTTGTAACTTTAAAAAATGTTTATTTTTCTTTGCAGTGATGTTATATAGCTTGCATCCTAAAATTCTTAACTTTCTTGTGTGTACAAGTAGTTATGTTAAAATGTGCTGACTCACTCGGACAGGCCACATGTGTAGGAACAGTCACATTCTCCCTATGAAACCATCTGGGCTTCATCCTTCTTGGAGGGGCAGAGAATAGGAGACACAAGGTAGTAGCCTTGGACAACTTTATTTCTTCAGTGGAAATCAGACTGCCAGGTTCTCTCTTCCGGAGTCAGTTCTGGTAAATTATATTTTCAAGATATAGTGGAACAAAGGACTCCACTTCTAATAGTGAACAATACAAAAGATAAAATGCATAGGAACAGACTTAACTAACAGTGTGCAGGACTTATATGAAAAAAGATTTAAAAAAAATAACTCCTGAAGAATGGAACAGGTGATTTCAGCAAATTGAAAGTCATATCATGTTCTTGAATAAGAAAACTCAAAATAAAATTGTCCATTTTCCCTAAATTAATTTATAATTTTAGCTCAATCCCCATAAAAATGCTAAGACTTTTTAAAAAATCTAAACAAGCTGATTCTCTTGTTCTTATGGAAGAATAAACCTACAAAATTATCCAGAAACGTTGTGAAAAAAATTTTGCAGTGAGGATGGACCAGCCTTAGTAGATATTAAAACGTTCTGTAGAGCTTCTGTAATTAGAGTAATTAGTGATGCATGATTGTATAGATTAATGGAATATACAGAGAACTTTTAGTGAATGTTTAATGTCTTAGTCCATTCAGCTTGCTGTAACAAAAATACCATACACTGAGTGGCTTATAAACAACAGAAATTTCTTCCTCACAGTTCTAGAGTCAGGGAAGTTCAAGATCAAGGCACTGGCTGATTCTGGTGAGGGCCTGCTTTGTGCTTCATAGATATGCTTTCTTGCTGTTTCCTCACATGCTGGAGGAGAGCAAGGGCTCTCTCTGGAGCCTCTTTTATTAGAGTCCTAATCCCACTCATGAGGCAGAGCCCTCATGACCTAACCAATTCCCAAAGGCCCCAGCTTCTAATGCCATCATCTTGGGGGTTAGAATTTCAACATGTGAATTTGGGGGGGGACACAAACATTCAGACCATAGCAGTCGCATATCAAATCAGTGGGGGAAACGCAGACTGTTTAATAACGTGTTGGGACAGTTGATTAGCCATCTGAACAGAAGTAAAGTTGGAACCATACCTCTTAGTGTATACCAAGATTAAAAAAAAGCAAACTGTATTAATGAAACCATAAATGTACTAGAAGGAAATATATGAGCATGAAATAAGGAAGAATAGGGAAGGTCAATCTAATTATAATCAAAATCCAGAAAAGATTGATGAGTTTGACTGTATGTAAAGAATTTCTGCATAGCAAAATCACTGTAAGCAGAATCAAAAGACAAAAATACATGCTGAGAGAAAATATTACATACAAGTCATATTATAGAGATCTAATCTCCTTAACTTACAAAGAACTCTTAGAAGATTTGATAAGAAAAAGACTAAACAACTCAGTGGAAAAATAGAGAAAGGCTATAAGTAGTCAGTTCACATAAAAAGAACTACAGGTGGCTCCACAACATAGGGAATGATGCTAAACCTCATGATAATGGAAATGCGTGTTAAAATTAGACCAATATATCATCATTTTGCACTTGCCAGATTGGCAGAAATCCAAAAGTTTGATTATATGTTCCATGGGCTTGTCTCGTCTGTGAGGAAATTGGCTCTTACACCTTGGTTAGGGTTTTCGTGAGTAGGATTACTCTATGGAGGGTAATTTGGTTGTCTAGCGGAATTATAAATATGTATATTCTCTCTGACCCAGTGTTTTCACTACTAGGAATATATTCTGTAGATTTTCTCATGTGTGAATGGGGTTAGATATGAAGTTATTTACAGGCTTGGTTGTCATAGTAGAATTTCAGAAGCTACCTAAATGTTCATCAGTGTATCACAGTGTGTATAATATGCTTCCATTTGTGTATAAAGGGGAAGGAAAAACATATTGTATTGCATTGCATAGGCATAAAAATTCTCTTGAAGGATAAATAAGAAATATACTTTTTGATGCTTAGACTATATGAATATATTAGCTAGGGACAAATTAAATTATTGTCGAATAATATAATAGATTCTTAATTCTAGTTCTGTTTTTCTTACAGTAGCTTCTCATTACTCAGAATAAAATCCAAAGGCTCTGTGTAATCTGGCACCTGCCTCATCCTGACCTTACCTCCAAGCAGCCTCTTTCTCACCCAGCTCAGCCAGTGGCCTTCTTGCTTTGCCTGGAATCTTATATTCTTTGTTTATTCTTTGTCTCCCCTACAAGATTGTGAGCTCCTTTTAGGACGGGGACTTGGTCCTGTTTGTGCTGTACCCCATCACCATGATCAATGCCTATACTTAGTAATGCTCAGTGAATACTTACAGTAGAAGAGTACTGACATAATTTCATATTTAGGGACAAGTATATAGCATTTTAGGCCATTGATAGTGAAAGACTTAAGGCACTACAGTATTTAGTAATTTCAGAGAGTAGTGTACCTCTGAGTATTTTAACTTAATGTGTTTCCTTGGTAATTTGTCTTGGTTTTTTACCGTGAACCAAGTAGGTTTCGCTGTAAAATTCTGAGAAGAACCATATGAAATTCTTGACTTAGAAATAATTGTTCCCTACCTGTCCCCAATATCATCTTAAAATTTGTTTTTCTTATTACACTCACCAATGATAATATCATTTTTAAAACTTAAATTCTCAAGTTGCTGAGTTCTAGAATGTAACTTGTTTTTGAGAAAGTTTATTTCTGTTAAAATATAGAATTACTAAGCCTAAATTAGAGCATGTGTACAACAGGGAAATTAAAAACAGAGACTTCCCTATCAAGAAGTCTATGGAAATTGCTTATTTCATATAAAACATCTCTTAAATTTACATTGTTGCACCTGATTGCCACAGACTATGACCAAATATACTGTTATGAATTTAAAACAACCCTTTGTATATCTTCAGTTTCCCCAAATAGAAATTATTACCATATTTGATCAATAAAGTTTTAAAATTTTGTGATCTGTTCCTGGCCAGAAACAACATAATATATGATTAGAATTTAAAATATTAGACCTTTTTGATAACATCTGTTTTTTTTTTATTACACCAGGTAGTTTTGGATGTTGGTTGTGGAACTGGAATTCTTTCTCTGTTTGCTGCTAAAGCTGGGGCAAAGAAGGTTCTTGGAGTTGATCAATCTGAAATACTTTACCAGGCAATGGATATCATAAGGTAGATGCATTTTAAGGCTTGATTTCAGATTATTTTTAAATTTGATGATTAACATAACAGGTTTTCTTGTCTTTAATAGCTGTCTGATGCAAACTCAAGACATGTCTTTTAGTAAAAATTCATTCCAGAATAATAAGATTTTAGGTTGGATTGAGCTAGACATGTTTGAGCTATGAATCATCTTTTCAAAGTTCTCATTGATGGGAATTATTTTTATATACTTTTCTGTCTTTCCAATTATGACTATAAATATGCAATTTTAATAATATAAAATTAGAAATCATTGACATACAAGGTAATATTGTTGGAGGACTCTACAAAACTAAATATTTATATCAGTGATATTTCCTTTAACAAATAACAGTTAGACTAAAGACTAAGAGTTATCTATCTTTTTTTCCACTGAGGAAGATTCGCCCTGAGCTAACATCTGTTGCCAATCTTTCTCTTTTTGTATGTGAGCCACTGCTACGGCATGGCCACTGACAGATGAATGGTGTGGGTCTGTGCCTGGGAACGGAACCCGGGCTGCCAATCAGAAGTGTACCGAACTTAACCGATAGGCCACCAGGGCTGGCCATATCTTTTTCATTTTTGACAACACTAGCCCTTGTGCCTCCTTCAAATTAAAATAAGTAAATTCGAAAATGGCTACAAACAAGGCAGAGTGAATTTAATTTTAATTGTCTAAAAATATCTCCTCTCTTTGAGGAGTTAATTAGGTTAATTGATCAGTGATTGGTTTTACGATGGCTTATGTCCTAGTGAGATGGCCTTTATTTGAACTATAGCTTATAGAACTAGATTTCGTTAGCTGTGTACTTACCAAAAGCACCTTATATTTGGAACTTAGGAGTAATTTCTAGAATAAATAATTAATAGGAAGCTTCTCAATGATTCTTTTTTTTCCAGCTTTGTTGAGATACTGTTGACATATAACTTCGTATAAGTTTAAGGTGTATAGTGTCTTGCTTTGATATATTTATATATTGCAAAATGATTACCTCCATAGCCTTAGCTAACACCTTTATTGCTTCACATAATTACCATTTCTTTTTGTGGTGAGAACGTTTAAGATCTACTCTCTTAGCAACTTTCAGGTATATAATTATTAGTTATAATCACCATGTTGTACATTAGATCCCCAGCGATTCTTAAATGGTCCTCCTGTGGATACTTATGTTCTGTTCTTAAAATTGATTAATGTTGATTTTTTCTGATTAGTATAAAATTTAAATATAATTGTGTAAAATGTTTAAATTTTTAGATTTTATTGCATAATGTAGAAGTATAATGTTGTGGTTAAGAGCACAAGGCTTGAGTCAGGCTTGGGTTTGAGTCCTTGCTCAACCACTTACCAGTTATTTGAACTTGAGTTAAATTATATCTAACCTCTTTGAAACCTCAGTTGTTTCACTGTCAGAATGAAAATAATAATGACTATCTCATATGGTTATGAATAAGATAAATGAGTTATAAGTAACATATGCATTTAAATCTCTTTGGGAAATTTCCTGGCACGTGTTAGATATTCAAAAGTTAGCTACTATTATTATTAACAAATACCAAATTAATGTTAATGAGAAAATTACATTGATCTTGCTTGGATTTTTCATAGATGTAGGTTTGCTTATGATTTTCATATTGGAAAACATCCATAATCTAGTAAAGTTTTTTTTCTAGTTCTTATGATACCATTAAGTACAACATCATCATTTTGGGGGTTCCATAAAGGAGCGCCCTTGCTTGTGCATTGCCATCCAAACAAATGTGAGAACTGTCCCAAAGAAGAGATTGTTTTAGAAGAATTATCAAAAATTTATTGTTGATAGTAAGATTATGGTAAAATATTTCTATTAGAAGTTCTAATCTTATGAAAGACCATGTCCATTTATGTATCAGTTTGTCATTTTTGATTTCTACAAATCTAGACTAGATATGCTCTCAGTTTAATTTCTTTATGGAAGAAAAGGAAAAGGATAGGGATAACACTCATTTTATTTTGTGTTGTTTCATTTTATTTCACAGAAGCCCTGATTCCCAGTGACTTTTTAGAAACATATTTATACAATGATTATCTTTAAATTCGTTGTGTATAAAATTTAGTGCTAGAGTGTATGGAACTTTTGCATGAGTGCATTTATTGAAAATGACTTAGCACTCAATTTTAGGTACTTCGATTTATCCATAAAATTACTAACATTAATTTAGTACTTTCTATTGCATTTCCTTTGAGGTAGGTCAATTATAGTATGTTATTATCCTTATTTTAGAGATTAAGAACTTGAGGCACAGAGATTAAGTAACTCTCCTTATTTGTGGTGGAGCCAGCATTAGATGCCAGGCAGCCTGACTCCATAGTCCATCCTCACAGCCGATTTGCTATGCTGTATCTCCATTTAAACACTTACAGGCCATCAATTGGTTGTGTCCAATAGTTTGCTTTACTTAGAACCTATATAGAGTTTGAAAAGCAGGCCTTTTTATTTTGGATAAGTTTTATTTTGGTTAAGCCAACATTGTACTGTTTCTTTAGAAATATTCTCCTTTGCCTTTTTAATATTCTGAAAAGATAGCTATTTCCATAGTGTTCATATATATCTCTCCTTTGTCTTCCTTTTGAAAATTTGAAATTTACACCGTGGGGTGAAATAACTTCCGTTCTTCTGTTTGTGAATGTATGTATAAAAGAATATGTAAGAAATAGTTCGTTGTTAATTTCCCCACAGTTTTCTGGCTCCTTATTCTACCAAATGAGGAAGGAATATAGCATCTTCTCTCAGCATCTGGAGTCACGTGACTTGATTTCTGTTTTTGGCTTTTTGACTGATTAGCTTTATAATAATGGACAGATTACTTAAGTTCTTTAAGCCCTGGTTTCTTCATTTATAAAATGAGGTTGATGGTAGTATCTGTATCATAAGATTGTTGTAAGGATTGAATCCATTTATGGTGCTTTGCAAAGTGGCTAGCATGTAACTGCTTACTAAATACTGGCAGTAATTACGATCATATTAATTGGTAGTAGTAGTGGTATGTTTGGCTTAGCACCAAATAATACTTTATATTTGGTTGGTTATGTTTCTAAAACGATCATTTACTGCAGCTATCCCATCAAAATATGATGACTCTCTTTTCTGTATTCTATTTCATAATCTCTATTCTCTTACACCGTAAAACTGCAAACATTTGCCGGTTTTATTCTGTACTCACTCTCCACCCTTGAAACCTACTCTTCTCTTCATTTGTCTGTCGTTGTGTACTGGAGCTTTCTAGAACTATCACCAGTCAATGAAAACAACTCTTCCGATTAGCAGGCTGTGAGTGGTCTCTAATAACTTCTGAGGCTTCTTTCTCTGTCAGAAATCTGTACACAGCAGGATTTCTGTAACACTCCGTAAGCTTACATCTGTAAAAAACACTTTAAGTTCTAAAAGATGGATACTTTTTAAATGTTTCATTTTTCTTTTAAATATAGTCAACTTACAACCCTTGAATTATGTTCAAAATGATGGTAAAATAATTTTTATCCCTTCTTTATTTAAAAAAGAGACCTAGGGCCAGGCCCCGTGGCCAGGTGGTTCAAGTTCCACGCACTCCGCTTTGGCAGTCCAGGTTTGCGGTTCAGATCCCGAGTGCGGACCTACTCTACTCACCAGCCATGCTGTGGTGGCAACCCATGTACAGAGTGGAGGAAGATTGGCACAGATGTTAACTCAGGGTGAATCTTCCTCAGCAAAAAAAATAAATAAATAAATACAAGATCTAACATTTCTAAAGAAATGAGTTTAGAATGGAGTAAGTTTTGGTTTTAATGTAAACTGACATATATATATATATATATATGTATAAGGGCTTAAAAAGAAGGTCAGGCTTGTGGTTCTGAGATTGCAGACACGAATGAAGTAAAATAGAGATTTTTGAAGATGTTATATTAGCAGGAGCAAATAGAACTCAAAGTGGTCTATGGAAGGAATGAGAAATTGTTTCTTGTTCTTGCTGTCCTACTTGGAACTCTGCAGTGAATGATCATTTCAGAAACAAACTTACCTAAGGATAGTAAAGCTCTTCAATTGCGAGACAATTGTGTACTGTGTTTACCCTCAGGAAGCAGAGGTAGCTTCTGGTAATATTTTCACCATTACTTTGGCTGCCTTTGGTTTCTCATTGACTCAGCCGTGAGATAGCTCATTATTCAGACTTTTGGATGTTATTGCAGAGGAGGTTTCATGAGAAGGTTGATCCATCGTACAGCTACAATGCACCACTTTCAATCTCAGAATGACATTAAAGATGCAATCTTTTATATTGCCTGTGTCTAGAATATTGTTAGAAATGAAACATTAAGAAAAGCCTAGAGAATATTTTGTTCTCTTGTCGTGTTTATGTAAGTATCCTTCTCTAGATTCTAGGACAGGAGCTTTATCTTCTTAATCTTTTTATCCCTAACACCTAGCAAAGTGTCTGATACATGGTAGCTGCTTAGTAAAGATTTTTGAGCAGAATAAAGTAACTTAACATAATGATTTTAAAGATAGTGGTGATACTATATAAGATTTGGAACAAGATCACAAAATACACCAGGACAGATTCTTGAACTAAGGGGTGTTCCTTCATATTTTGTCTCTAAATTTAATAGAAATAACACAGAAGAGTGAATTAAAGCGGAAGAGAATTTTGAACTGCTGATGAGGCTAAATGGTAAAAAAATATTTTGCTACTCAAAAGCCATAGAATTCTAATGAAGGTAATGAAGGTGATCAAGACAAGGAAACTAATTTCATTTCTTCTCCCACCCCGCTGACCCCTTAATTTCCTGTCCACACAGTGATTCTGTCTTGGGGGAGTCCCATGACTACCCGCTAGTTCGGTGGTTCGCTAGAAGAACTCACATGACTCAATATAAAGTTGTAGTCACAGCTAAGATTTATTGCTGCAAAGGGGACAGTCCAGGAACAGCAAGAAAAAGATACCCTTCAGTAGAGAGGTCGTTTACAGGC